AAAATAAAACGCATTCCAAGTTGAACGATTATAACTAACATCCAGAGCAGTTACCTCATACATTTCTGGGTGCAGGTGACCAATAATTGGCCTGGATTGTGCAGCTAAGACACGAGGAGGGACGTTTGAGGGGCCCGGACCAAACAGGTAACGCAGAGGCACTTCCAGCGGTCGGAGCATGCATTCTGGCGGTGGAATAGTGACGGAGGACATGGAGCGCTCCAGACGCTGCAGCACCGGGGCGTTCCTGGCAGCCAGTGGACCATCCAGAGCCGCTGCCGCCTGCTGAGCGAGCGACGCGCTCCGGCCGATCAAAGCCCGCTGCATAACGGCCTGTGTCCTGTTCCAGGTAAGTCTCCACGGGGTGAACTCACCTATGGCAGATGGAGAGACTGAGCTTGGAAGTGACTTTGGGTGAACATTTAAAAGAAACAGGTCCTTGACCTGGTGGGCAAGGCCATGCTTGCGTCATTATACGCAACAAAATGTACTTTTGCAAACAGTTGTAAAAAGAACAGGATGCTCCATCAACATTTCTTACATGTTGAAAGGTTTTTGGTTGGTCGGAAGCATAGCCTTATTTGTTTGTTTTATCGGCATCAAACATAAGAAAATCCCTTTAATTTTTACACACTTTGCTACTTTACAAACAATTGACATACTGTAGATGATCAACAGAAAGTGGTTGAACAGTTGACATAGAAAAACATATAAATATTTTTACTTTAATTATCTGGAAAGCGCATTGCAGTCAGGACCATCAGTCATTATTACAGCTTGGAGACTCTAGATTCAGGTTTACACTTTGACTTTATCTTACATGTGCTTTGATCTACCGGTAAATCTTTCCTCTTCTACATGGTGTCCATTTAAAACAGAATCTTTATCCCTGTCTGGAGACTTTCATTCCCAACCCCCAGGTTTGCCCTACATTTTGCTCACCTATATGAACTCTGACCTTCTTTCCTACCTCCTCTGCAAAAACAAATTTCCACATTATGACGCTGCCATCACTGTGTTTCACAGGGAGGGATTGTGGATCGGGGGTAATATGCAGAGAACGTTTTTTTTGGCCATACATTGTATTTTGTATGAATACATCAATTTGCAGTAGATATCTGCAGCACCTCCAGAGTTACCATATGCCTCTTAATCTTGCCTGTCAATGTAGGTGGATGGCAGGGTCTTGGTAGGTTTGCTTCATTTAAAGCTGTTTCCATTTTCAAATGATGATTTGAAAATGCTCAAACATATTCAAACCTTTGGGTGGGGATTTATGATCTCATTGAGCTTTAAATTTCCTCATATCTTTAACCCTGATTGCTCTGGTTATTCCTTCATTATCTGATTCTCACTCAACAACTGTGTTTATTATAATAAATAAACTCCATTAATAAGGTAAGTTACGTTTGTCTTTTATTTTGGAGTACATAATATAAATCTACCATTTATCTCTAAATAGTTGTAAAAAGCCGTAAGCTTTTATGTATTGATTTTTGTTAATATTTCATGTCAAAATTCCTTGTTATAATTAATATAACAATGTGTAAAGTCTTTATGTAAGGGATATCTGTCCATGACCCACATGTATGCAGCTACAGGACCAGTTTTGGTGATGTACTTCTGGTTTAGATCTGCAGCTCTTGAAACTTACGTTCTGAATCTGGCAGCCTATAACTGGCTGGCGTTGGTTTGTTTGAGGTGATTTGTTGACTTTGTCCCTTCTGTCACAGCAGCCTTTGGGATATTTAGAGGAGCCTCCTCTCGGAGAGCCAATCTGCTGTCTTATAGGAGGAAGAGGGGAAGGCAAATCCACACACCCACCAACCCCAAATAAAGACATAAACACACAACCAAAGGCCCTCTTTTTATGTTTTGTACAAGACTTGAAAATGATTTAACGATTTCTGTATCTTAAAAATTTATATGGAGATTCTTTCCTGATTCTGTTCTTAAAGGAGAACATTTGTTAAACAAAAATGTTTAATTTAAGCTCTTTATTTTAAACAAATTGAACATCACTAACATGACATAGTTGGTTTTATAATTCAAACTGTTGCAACATCAGCTCCAAACTTCACACCATGCAGGTGAAACATTTCTGTCAAGTTAACTGGTGTCTGCAAGTGCAGATGTCTGGGTGACTGGGTAAATAATTACACACAGAGTAAATAAATAAATTAGGTTTTCTGCTCTCCTTGGAAACTGGACTACAGAGGCAGCTCTACTTATATATTTAAGAACTCTAAGAGAAAGACTCTTATTAAAATATATCAATCTGTTTTTTCTAGAGGATGATCTCAATTAAAATGTCCCAGAAAACATTATTCTGTTTTAAACAAGCCCTGTACTTTTAAAGTTAGTGATTGTTATGATAGTTAGTAAACGTAAAACTATTTCAGTTTGTTTTAGTGGTTTTGTTCATCTTTTTTCTCAGCATGTGACAGCTATAATTAATGGCCTAACCCAATAAGTACAACATAGTTTGGGAACCGTGATTGGTTTGGATTATAGTATAATGGAAGAGTATTCACTCCCTAAAAGTGTTTTTCCGTTATTTTCTTATCACACTTAAAAACAACAGATTTTAAGTTACCTTCGTCTAATGCAAATTTGGCTTTCATATTATTACTTAATCATTAAGGAAAATTAATCTTAAACAAGTAGTGATCCACTTACTTAAAATATTGATTAACCTTACATTTTGGAAAACTGACTTCAGTTTCCTGAGCCACAAGCAAGAACAACATCTAAAATACTGCAAGTCTCATAAATTTCAACTAAGTGCACCCTTTGTGAAGCAACAAAACAAGAAAACCTCAGCAAAAAGTGTCCCAGTGGAGAGAAGTTAAGCCCTACAACCAGCTAAACACATGCAAAGGTAATATGCTGCTATCACAGCCTATAAACAGAAGAAAACAGACATGGCAAAGTATACATAGGAGGGCCTGGGTCCTCTGTTGCATACTTTGCAACATTCTGGTGTTGCTGGCCGGACCTATGTGTTATACTAGTAAACGGTCTATGGATTCATAAAGGGTAGTGGCAGCCTGTGTGGAGTGAGAGGACGGGCTTGTGGAAAATGGGGGAGATATGTGACAGTGTCACAGTTGATGATGTGTCATGGCTTTTTGACCAGGGAGTTATCCCTGCGGCTGACTGGTCAGTGTGCGTGACTTTGAGCTGGAAATTTGCCCTGCCTGGGCCCTCTGTTACCTTATCACATTCAGAAAACTGTATTTACCCAAAGTAAACTTAATTTTTATAGCACTTTCACAGACAATGTACTTCACAATAATAAAAAACATATAATATGAACAACGAAGTAGAATAATACAAAAAGTGACACCACTGGGTCAGTTAGGACATGAATGCTTCTTTAAACAAATAGATTTTTGGGAATTTTTTACAGATGTCTACTGACTCCAGAGAGTGTAGCTTTGGAGTAAGTTAGCTTGAAAATCACAAAAAGTTTTAAAGCAGGTTAATGGATCCATTAACAGTTTTTTTTAGACTTAGACAAACTTTATTGTAATTTTGTACAAACAGAGTGTATACAAAACAAAATTTCGTTTTGCAAAGCTCTGAAGACATTTACATTTCTTAAGGTGCACCAGTGATCAAATGTAAACATGGTGATCAAATGTAAACATAGAAATGAGATAAGATTTACAGTTTTTCCAACTTTAATCTTTGTTTTATTCAGCATTCAGCAGTCTAATGGCAGTGGGGAAGAAGCTGTTTTGGAATCTGCTGGGCCTGCATCGGATGCTTTAAAGCTTCTTCCCAGAGGGCAGCAGGGAGAACAATCCATGGTAGGGGGGTTAGGGGACATTGATGATGTTACAGGCTCGAAACACGCAATGCTGGAATGAAATGTCTCTTATAGAGGGAAGAGGAGCCCCGATGATCTTCTCTGCAGCTCTCACTACTCTCCTCACCTCTCCTCACCAATTAGTTTGCAGATGTAGGCAGAAACCTGTTCATCTTCAAAAGTGAGCAGTTAGATTCTACATTGAACATGACACAAAACAGGTAGCCAGTGCAGAGATTTTAACTTAAGTGTGTATGTGTGTATGTATTCGAGTCAAAAGCCTTGCAGTTGAGTTTTGGACTGACCACAGACTAATTAATTCATTGTAATTAAGAATAGAGAACAGCAAGGACAAAAAACAAACAAAAGCAAACTAGTTCAACAAAACAAATATGCACAGGACCTCTAGGGGGAGTCACCTACTAAGTCAGACAGGACTGCAGCATATAGTGCTGCATAAATATGCTGCTGTTATATAAAACTCTAAAAGTTTACAGCCAAGCCTTTAAATGTACATTATTTTTAATACCCACATCTTTCTGACTTAGACTTAGACAGATTTTATTTGTCATTTTGTTTACACCAGTGTAAAACAAAAAGAAATTTCGTTTGGAACAGCTCTCTGGATAATTTCCTCTTTTTAAAAGTGCAGCCTTGAAAAATAGTAAAAAATAAATAAATAAATAAATAAAAAATAATATATATATATATATATATATATATATATATATATATATATATATATATATATATATATATATATATATATATATATATATATATCCTGTCACAGAGAGGATCTTTGATTCAAATTCCAAATTCTTGTTGCTTTTTTATAAATTAAACATTAAAACGCACCGGTTCTCAGCTTGTTTCTTCATGTGGGTAAAAAAAATACTACAAACTAAAATTATTTGTGTTATTTCTAACGTTTTGAAGGTTATATAAGTGTTCAGTTAAATACATTTATAGAAATATTGTTCTTTTGTTTCTGTGCGCTGGTGCTCTCATTCTGCTGGAATCGCATCTTTAGAGAATTAGTTGCCTTTTAAATATAAGGGATGAATAAAAGCAGTAGTAGAAACAGATTGAGCAGCGTTGCATTGGTCCTCTCTCCTCCTTTCTCTGCTCTCTGATGATGCTGATCTCATCAACCCCTCCCAGCATCTCTGGTACAGCTGCGCCGTCGCCATTTTCCGCTATCTCGGAGCGACTGACGCGCACTCCATCCTCTGTGTGACGCACCGCTGTGTCCAGCCCACCCAGCGCCGCTGCTGCTGCTGAGACTGAGACAGACCCCCATCGCCCGTTTCCCCGGCGGATTCTCCATGTATGGATCCATGTATGGGGAGTGATGCTGTAGGTTACCCAAAACTGAGAGAAGATACGGAGCAGCAAGGATATCCAAGAAGGAGCCACTGGAGGATCAGGACGCTTTTTTGAATGGATTCATCGTGTGTGTTTTTCTTAAGTGGCAGTTGCTGAGGTAATCCACGACTATTATATATATATATATATTTTTAATATTTTATTAGAGCTATGTTGTGTGCAATGTTGCTCATTTCGCTTTTGTTTTTAAGAGATGCTGCGTCAGGATGGATGGCGCGTCAGACTCCATGTTAAATAACCAGCACCGATTTGAATATAAACTCATTTTTATTAAGAGTAAACAAAAATAAACATGTGATTGTCATCTATAATGATGTGAGCTCCTTTCTGACGCAGCGTTGGGTAAATTGGTGTCTGATCTGTGCCCATGTTTACGCGGCCTGTGTCTGAGGTGCGGCAGTCTCAGCAAGATGGAGGAGATGATATTTACATGGAAGATTTTCGCAGTGTTCTGTCAACCAGCGCTTTCAAAATATTCGCTTTTTATCATAGCTTCCAATTTCATATTTAGATGTGTTCCTTTTTTGTTTCTGATCGACTTAAGGGGCTTATAACATGATAATTATGCAATGTATGTTGTTAATTAGAATAAAAGAGTCAACTTAAAGATGAAAAGGGTGATAAAGGTAAAGATGGATAAGGATGCCTTTGGAGATGTCATGTGAAACGTTATTGCAATGGTGCCATTTTATAACAAAGCCCTGAGGCTTGGTGGGGATGTTGCCCAAATAAGCAGCCATTTTCTTGTACTATAGCAGAGATGTTGTTGATCTCCCTGCCAAATGATGGCCCAGCCTTTCAGACAGGATGTTTTAGAAGCTGCGCAGTAATAACACAGTGGAGATTATCTTCACTGCCTTATAGTGGAGAATCAAGTGTCAGTTAGCAATTTTCCTCTCACATATCAAGTTTAAACCCAATCAGTTATTTATTTATTTATTTTTTTGGAACAATTTGCAACAATATTTTCTAATAATGCTACTTGTGTAATTTTGGACCTGTGCAGGTGTCCGGTGTGTGTCTGTAACCAATCAGATCTACAGCTCTTCCACTAACACAAGCCCACCTGAGAGATGGCGGGGGCTTCAGTCAAGGTGGCGGTGAGGGTTCGACCCTTTAACTCCAGAGAGATTGGAAAGGAGAGCAAATGCATCATACAGATGTCAGGAAACACAACAAGTAAGTAAAACATCACAGGGAAAAAAATGTTCCACTAAAAATGGTCTCTGTGTTTTTGTGTGTTTTAGCTCCATGTTTGACCATTTATTTAGTGTTTTTAATCATGCTGCATTTGGTCTAAAATTATAGTCATTGTTAATCAATTTTTGGAGTAAACACAATTACTTTTATTGACAACAATTCCATTTTGATCATTGCGATAATTATAGTAGAAATAAAGCTCATTACTCTGTGTATTTTGACCATACATTGAATATGTTCCATAGCCTGAATATACAAAAAAAAGTGATATTTATAGAACGATTATCACATCATTTATTTGTTCTGATTGAAGTGGATCAATGGTTTCTAATCAGGTGAATGTACAAATAAATGGCAGTCACAGAGTCTTTAAATCTCAACCCAAACCAAATGACTGGATATAATTTTTTTCCCTAGTTAGTTTAGTTAGTTTAAATTGTTAATTTTGTGCAAATTACATTTTTACTATCAAGATTTATTCTTGGTTTTTGCTATTGTTCCTGATGATTTTCTTTATGCTGTTTTGCACTTATTTTTTTAGTCTGACCTGCTGAAATTAGAGCATCTTTCCCTGAAAGGTTTAGTCAAGCTGATCAGACATAAATTAAACAATGACAGGACACTCTGGATATTTTTGTGTAGGCATATTAGGCTTTTTGAAAGCTTAATAGTTTTGTTATCATTTGGTCAAACATTTTGCAGTCATTAGCAACAAGCTGGCATGCCAAGAATTGTTATATGCATGTAAGAAATAATAATTCCATTGTAAACAGGATTAGATTTGACAATTACCTTAAAACCTCTGAAGTTAAGGAAAGGAAACAGAACAGCGACTCCATTTAGGTTTTTATACACCTATTTTTCATGTTGTTTCAGTTTTCCTTTTTTTTTTTATTAAGCTAGCCTCAGTCCTGCCATGTTTACAAATAAATAGAGTTTGAAAAGTGTGATTCCCTTATAACTTTTTCAGTTTCTGTTTTTTGTCAAGTTTTTTCATATAATGAAACCAATGTTAATATCAGGCAAATATCACCTGTGAAAATCCAAAATATTCTTTTTCAAATTATCTTGGATTGATTATTTTCAGAAATATACGTTGAAGGAAACACCTCAGCCAAACCTGTCTGACAACATGAAGTGGCTGAAAGCTCTCACAAACTATATGCTCATTATTACTCTAATCTGAAATATTTCTCTGACATTGACATATTTTGATGGTCTGAAACATTTAAGTATAACCAGAAATAAAAGAAAACTATATCAGACACTCAAGCCCAGCACTTTAAATACTCATACAATGCCTGATTTCCCCTTTGGGAGTATTTTGTAATTAATATGATGCAGAAATTGCAAGAATATAAAAAAATATGACTGATTTTACTGATAACTTTGGTGCATATAATCCCAGATATTACTTCTGCTCTATTGCTGGCTTGATGATATTCCTTTGACCTACATCACGTCCATCATTTCGATGTAGTTTTTTTTGTTGTGTAGGCAACTCTTTGTTGCAGCTACATAACACTGGGCAGTGAGGGTTGCAGCATCTTTGCTGCAGAAACTAACAAAAGCTTCAGTCATTTCTGAGCCCTGACACTGTGTGAGTAGGATGCAGTGGCAGCCACATTTCTGTGCTCTCATCATGCGTGCTACCGGTACCGACAAAAAAAATGGAGTTGTTGCTCTTGTCCAGAGCATATTGCAGAATCAGCTGATCTAAATATATGTGTGAAAGAGGGGTGGTTCTAACCGTAATTTGCCCCATTAAAGAGAGAAGATTCTGATTCAAAATAGAGGTAATTACTGAGTTTGCCCATCTTTAATACAGCTGCTTCCAGCCATGTCATCAGCATTGTATTGCTTTCAGCTGAGTGCACAGTTTTTGGGGGTAGTGTTCATGCTATGTTTAGCTTCCCAGAGAATGGAGTGTGTTACAGTGGATTTTATTTAGCTGAAAAAGAGAATCTCAGTTTAAGATTGTACCTCTTTCTATTTTTTAAAATTAAAAAAATATGTTGCTGCTGTTGACATCTTGTTATTCGATTAATGAATAGGAAATCAACTCCAGTTTATCTTTTACAAGCTTCGGGAAAAAAATCATAGAAATTTTAGCATTTTTAAGTGATAGAAATAGACTAAAATCAAAGCTAGTGAGAATTTAAAATTTCCTCATAGGGCAGTGGCAGTATTTTATTTATTTATTGTGTTTTAAAGATTACAGAGAGAATAAAACACATTTAAATGATCATACAATAGCTTTTTTGGGGTTTTTTGGGGGGGGTCTTTTGACCTCTCAAACTAAAGTTGCATCAAAACAGCTTTTTTTGGGCAGTTTCACCATCAAACATGAAAAATAATAATGTTTAATTCGGATTCATTTTCTTTCAGATTAAAAAAATATCTTATAGATTTATAAAACTAGGGCTTTGGTTTTAATGAAGCCCAGATTCCCTTAATACTCACCTTAAGCTCAGTTTTATTGTTGGTCTCATTCTCTCATCTTCCTCTGATTCTTTATTGGGTTGAGTTCAGATGACTAAACTGGCAAATCACACACAGATACAAAGGTTGTTAAATCAAGTGTTGCTACTTATGGCAGAACAGGCAAACTCTAGCACGAGAAAAAAGATTAGCATCTACATAAAAACTTTCAGTAAATGGAAGTATGAAGTCTTTGAAACTTCCTGACAGATTTCTGCTCTTGGACTTAAAGAGTCCAAAAGCAGCAATCCTCCCCATTCAAAACATTCACGATGGGACCTTGATTTTCATCAAAATCTGCTAAAAGGACTTTGAACTGCTTTGAACAATGAATTGTTGATTGAATTTAAAGTTCTATCAAAGCTCTAGTAACAGTTGTTGCCTGTAAACCCTCTTTTACTACACATTTTCCTTCCACCTAACCTTGCAATATTCTGGGCTAACATTCTGTAGTTTAATCTTTTTTTAGAGGATGGTAATGACTGTAGAGTTACTGTATCATCAGCAGTTTTCTCCATGATTGTGTAGATAGAAATATTACAATTCATTAAAAAAATTGTTTATAATTTATATGTTTTTAGTTAATTTGCTGAGATATATTGCTGCTTATTTTTTATTGTGATTTATCAGGGTGTGTGTGTAATGGTGCAACACGAGGGTTGTATTCACTGAGACATTTGGATTTTTATTTACTAATAAGATAACTGATAGAACGCCAATTTTTCATTAGATTTCCTAATAAAATAGCAGAGCTGGCTTGTCAGGTCATTTGTTTTTTTTTTAAATTAGTTTAACTATAAAATAATGATAATATAAAGTAAAAAATAAAGGGCTTTTGACTGCAGTCTGATTTGATCTTTAAACAAGAATTAAATAATGGGTGGAAACTGGATATTTCCTTTGTCGGCTGGTTCTGGGGCTTTCCTGACAGCTGATTAATGTTTTTTTAACTCCTAGGGGCAAAAGCAAAGCTTCCATAGAAGCAATTTAGAATATCTAATGCTGAGAGAGGTAACTTGAGTGCTCGCTTCAAAATCATCTCTAGTCCTTTAATCACTAGACATTATTTTTACCATAACACACCATTAAACGACATTCTGTAGAATTGAATTATACCAAACCCTAAAGAATTTTTGAAATGCTATCTTAGCATTCAATTTGTCTTAGTATAGAGCGACTGAAACATGGGTTATAATGCAAAAGGTGTCAAATTCTCTGTTTTAATAAAGTATAAAGATGAACTGAAAATGCTAAATAACTGTAGAATCAAGGGCCTTTAAGGTTGGCTATTTAAAGTGATAATAATTTCACCATGAATAGTGAGGTTTTACAAAAAGCCTTTATTGGTTTTGCAGGCATGAGGATGTGTTGGGCTTCTAAACGTAATGGTTTGTTTCATTGTGTGTATTTTAGTACACAAAGAAAAAAAACGGTTGGCTTTTTATCCCCTATTGCTTCTGAGGTGGAAACAAGTAATGCGAGGGGGGAAATATGATCTCATATGGAAGCAAATGGTTTTTTATGTAATGGGGTTAAAGACAGGGATGAGGGGAGAATTCAAACTTCCTCTCTCAACTTTAAATAGCTCCTATAATAGCTTATTACAGAATATAATTGGGTAATTTGTTTTACTGGACTGGACTGGACTAACTTCCATCTCCTTGGATTTATATGTTGTTGTTTTTTTCTGGGGAATTTTGGATTTTTTTCTTTCTAAGCTCACAAATCCTAAGCTTAACTTAAACCGGAATTGACAGTCAGTGTTTTAGGACCACATATATGATATAGAGAGAAAAATTAGAATTCTTAGAAATTAGAATTCAAAGTAATAACATAATTTAATGTGAGCAAGGAATCTGTAGAGAACTATATCAGAGGAGGGAAGACAATGCCTACAAAAAAAGAACAGATTTCTGAATACAGAAGTATGTTTACTGATATACTGATTTACGTTCTTTATCTCACTGTTTATGTAAAGTTTACTGTTTGATAAATGAAATAAAGTGAAACTTATTTGGACCCCTTATTGCTTTTTTTTTTTAGCTATCCTGAACCCAAAACAACCAAAAGAAAACAAGAGCTTCAACTTTGACTTTTCATACTGGTCACACACTACGGTGAGTTATTAAACATCTTCCTCCACAAAAACATAACATAACGGTTGTAAAATGAAAACATCATCAGTAAAAAAACAAAGTACAAACGTAGGCATATTTGAACTTTTTCACCTGTACTATCTCCATCTTCATTAAGGCGTGCATTCTTGACTTTCTCTGTCTCTTTGTTTGCAGCCTGAGGACATCAACTATGCGTCTCAGATGAAGGTGTATAAGGACATTGGAGAGGAGATGCTGCTCCACGCCTTCGAGGGTTACAATGTCTGCATATTTGCATATGGTCAGACAGGAGCTGGCAAAAGCTACACCATGATGGGGAGACAGGAAAAAGACCAGCAGGGCATTATACCTCTGGTAAATCAGAGCACATCAATGGTTCATCATGCAACACTAGTTTTAATGTGACGGAGTACAATAGTAACACTGCAGTTCTGCCATTTGCAAACTTCATTTGCTTCCTTATCTTCTAGCTGTGTGAGGATCTTTTCACAAAGATCAATGACTGCAACAATGACAACAGCATGTCTTACTCTGTGGAGGTGAGCGATCCTAAAGCCCTATAATCTTCACAAATCATATGTTTGTGTTTTATTTTTTATTTCTTAATCACCAGACTATGAAGTTCTACAAGTTTTGAAACCTTTACACTGTTGATTTAATGAAGTAAATTAGTAGATGTGAAACTCAACTATTGATTCAGAGCCCTGGGCTGTCTTTAATGCTGTTTTCTTGTAAACTGAAGGGAGAAATGTGAAGTATATCACAGAGCCCCTCAGTTTACTATGTTTTTTTTTTTTTTTTTTACTATCGCTTCCCCTGTGATTCTCTCCAGTTTATTGCTAGAAATTAACCTGACACCAAACATATGTCACTAATGCATTCTGAGCTTAGACTGGCACTTTAAAAACTATTAAATTATCTATTTTACTCTTAAATACTAAAACATTTTCTGACACATATTTGAAAACAAACAAAAAATAAAACAACAAAAAATTGTGATTGAGTCCATTAACCAGCCAGGTCACTTCTAAAGCTTGATGCAGTATAAGGTAATCACTTTTAATCTTAAGTTTCTCTACCAAATTTAAACTTAAAAACTCCCATGCGTTTCCCGTTAATGTGTTACTTAGAAGCTGTTATATTAGTTTGCATTTACTTATGTATTTACAATTTACTTGTACAACTTGCCTTTTCTTCCAGATGTAAAGGAAATGGGAAAAAATAGACAAACTTTACACTAAAGACTAGGTAGCAATAATGCACTGTTATGTTTTAGAAATCATTTTTGTCCAAACAATATTAAATATGGGTTTATGTGTTTATTATATGGTAATAATTTACAATTACATTTTTTTTTTAGGTTGACAACATCAATAGTGTTTTGATCTTCTGCTCTCTTCTTAGGTGAGCTACATGGAGATCTACTGTGAGCGTGTGCGTGATCTCCTGAACCCTAAAAACAAAGGAAACCTTCGTGTACGAGAACACCCCCTGCTGGGACCTTATGTCGAAGATCTGTCCAAATTGGCTGTAACTTCCTACAATGACATTCAGGACCTGATGGATTCTGGAAACAAGGCTAGGTAACAACTGTAGACCGAGTTGTTACCTTAAAAATTCAGCGCTAAAAAACTGATGGAAGCTGAAGGTTAATAGAAATATATTTAAGTGATTTTCTGTTTTTTTTTTTCAGGACTGTGGCTGCCACCAACATGAATGAGACCAGCAGTCGCTCTCATGCAGTCTTCAACATCATCTTCACACAAAAGAAACATGACATGGAGACAGACAACACTTCAGAAAAGGTTTTACTCAGGGCCATCTTCTGTAACTCAACTAACCTTTCATAAGTATAAACATTAGCCACAAACTGTGCAAATTGAATTACAACAAAACTAATCAATAAATTTGAAGGGTTGAATGTCCTGAAATGGTCCTTAAAACCTTATTTCCAACATGTTTTGTAGGCCTAGACGATTTCCAGGTTATTCTTTTATTATTACACCTTGATATTTACAGACCCAATAAAAAATGTAAATCTTTATAAAAAGTAAATCTATTTCAGTAATGTCATTCATATATATATATATATAAAATTATAATTATAAAGTTTTAATATAATAGAACATTATAATTACCATTTCAAAATTATTATGGATACATATAAAAAATACAGAAAAGAGGCTTAAAGGAAAGCACGTCTAATATCTGCTTTAAGATTGCTATTTTCATCTTCAAATTAACTTTCACTGGAATATTCTATAGCATATTCTGATTTATTATATATAAATGTTTATCAATTATCTGCCTTCTCCAGCTTTAAAACAATTATTTTTGTCCTTGACAGCATTATTTTAATCTTTCATTTGAATAGAGGATATGCTATAACAGTACAATCACACCTGAAGTTGCACATTTTTTTAATTACCATATTAGGCGAAAACCAAAAATATCCCCCCAAAGAAAACAGCAAAATCTACGGAAAATAATGGGAATTTTCTATATGTCAGGTACCTCACAATTGGTTGTCTTTAATTAATCACTTTAGAACAAGTGTGTAGCCAAGGAGTACACCGCAAGCATTGTTAAAGTACAATGAACAGTTCTTTACCAACAAACTTTTAATTGTTTATTGATTTCATGTGAACAATTTGTTAGGTCAGCAAGATAAGCCTGGTGGACTTGGCTGGCAGTGAGAGGGCTGATTCAACTGGAGCTAAAGGGACACGACTGAAGGTGGAGAAATTCTTTTGTTTTTTTTTGTTTTTTTGTTTGAGCAGGAGTTGTTTTGAAGAAACTGCAGAAATAATCTCATATGTAAAATGTTAACTAAAATGTTTGTGTTTCTGCAGGAAGGAGCAAACATAAACAAATCTCTGACCACTCTGGGGAAAGTCATTTCTGCCTTAGCTGAACTGGTGAGATCCTTGTATGATAATAGCATTTTATTAGTGGTGGATGTTTTTAATTGTTCAAATAAAAATTGCTCACATTTCTCTTTCAATACATAGGACTCCGCACCAAACAAGGTTTGTGGTTTCCCATGTTTCACAATTGAATAATATATAGAAATTTTATTTAATAAAACCCAACAAATATTTTTTCTTATTTGTTTTGCAAATAGAACAAGAAAAAGAAGAAAGTGGAGAGTTTCATTCCCTACAGAGACTCAGTTCTGACCTGGCTTCTTAGGGAGAACTTAGGTTTGCAAAATTATTTATTAAATTTTTTTTGCAATAAAATATGGGGGTGTGTGTCTAATAAAAAAAATACTGATATATTCATTTCAGGGGGTAACTCTCGCACAGCCATGGTGGCGGCTCTCAGTCCTGCAGATATTAACTACGATGAAACACTAAGTACCCTTCGGTGAGGAGAACATGATAGAATCTCTTTTTGGAGATTGCTTAATAATGGTAGAAAAATAAAAATGATGTTTTTCTTTTAATCTGTCCAATACATTGGTTAAGTTTTGTTACTTTAAATGTGGTTTACCTTTGAGACCTAACTTGAACAAAGCTCAGTAGCGCTCATGACCTCTATTCTGTCAGGTATGCTGATCGTGCCAAACAGATCCGCTGTAACGCTGTGATTAACGAGGATCCCAACAACCGCCTGGTTCGTGAGCTGAAGGAGGAGGTTGCTCGTCTTAAAGACCTGTTGTATTCACAGGGCCTGGGAGACATCATCGAGAGTGAGTCTCACAAATAGAAACGTGAAAAACTGATAATAAAAAAAGCCCATACTTTGAGCTGGGAGCCTCTGTGCAGGGCTTTTGTTTCTCTCTATTCACTGAGGGCAGAGTATTACGTTGGAACGTGGGTTTTTTTTGACACACAGTCTCTTTTCTCCTCTGTTCTGTCAGCTAATCGAGGCACCCTTCCTGCCATCACCGGTTTGAAATGTGTGTTTAACTTTGGCAAGCCTGCGCTTTGCAACTAAAAGAAAAAAAAAAGAGATTCCTATTCTATCGCACCAGAGACAAAACTTACAATCCCAAGAAAGTATTTTCTTAAATCAGACATAGGCTAAACATATGTTTATTTAGAGCATCTGTTAATTTATGTCTTGTTGTTGTAATGATTGTTTCTCAGAAAATTTTGCAAAATGGCTTCCATTTCCCCCCATGATTATGGAGATGTTCATCTTTTCTTTTCAAATGGGAGAACTCATAGCGCTATGCAACATTTCCCCTGATCGGCTATTTATGCACCTTAGTATTAAGGCATGCAGAGATTTTGGAGCTCTTGGTTAACTATTTCTGTTACTTTGAATAAAGACACAAAGAAAGAAAAAATGTCCACCAGCTTCTCAGAGATTCCTGTAAATCAGGCTCATTGTTATTTTCAAAAATAATGTTAATGATTGTAACCTGACAAAGCATTAAACCATCACGGGCTGTAGCCCTGCTTCTGAGTTGTTACATCTTTTAACATAGTCAGTCATTTTTTTGTGGTGCTTACCTCTAACAGTCTAAATTCCAACAAAATCAGCAAGTCACTTTAATGTTTCCTTAAATGTGAAATAATTAACGACTGGTGATTTTTCAGTGTGTCCTTGTAACTGTTCACTGTAACAGATACTAATCAAGAGTGCTATGACTTAGAATTGGCTTTGAGGCTTTTCTCGCCGTAGACTTCATGGAAAGAGGATGTCTCAGGTTGTTGAATCTGCATCTTGGTTATCTGTGTGGAGATCTCAGAAATGGAGCTGAGGAGCTCAGAGGTCAGCACACAGGAGTCATGCTTTAAAAGGCCTCGATAAACAGCTTGATCTAATTGAGTTTTGGTTGGCTCACCATATATGCAGTGGAAACATAAGACTGAATGATTTTTATGTCTGTAAACCCTTGTCGACTTGTTGATTGTCTAGACTCAGTTCTCTCACGTTCAATTTCATATTTTGTTCTTTTTTTTCTTTATGTTAAACTTTTCTTGCTGCCCTGAATGGCTTTTATAAACGAGCCAGCTTTGCTTCTTGGATCAATTATTTGAGCTCTTCTCTTTTTTTTGTAATCCTTCCTATTGGCCCCTTATTCTGTTCCTCTCATTCCCCAACCATCTGGCGTTCGCACCTACCTTCTGTCCCGTTTCTGTTCGTTTTTCTGCACTCCTCCATGCACCGCCTCTCTCTCTGACAGACCTGTGCAGTTACAAGAACTTTGTGAACAATCACCAGGCTGTCAATCAAAGGGGTGATCTCTCCACAGTGACCAATGCCATGACAGGAATGAGTCCCTCCCCATCTCTTTCCGCCCTGTCCAGCCGGGCCGCGTCCATCGCCAACCTTCATGACCGTATTTTCAGCCCGGCCAGTGAGGAAGCGATTGAAAGGCTCAAGGTACAAAGATAGAAAATAATAAGAAAAAGGAGGTTGGAATTACTAATTGGTATAATAAGAATGGATTTTAAATACTTAAAAAAAACATTTTTTTTTTTTTTAGGAAACAGAGAAAATCATTGCAGAGCTTAATGAGACATGGGAAGAGAAGCTGCGACGTACCGAGGCTATCCGCATGGAGAGGTTTGTTCTAAATATTAAACATGTCTATAATCATCTTTTTTTGGTGCTTTTCCCTTCATCTGTTAGTCACAGATGATCCCTCTCAGAGTTTTTCTTCTGAAATTATGTGAAACTGATCTTCCAACACCTACCATCACATCACAAGAGCATGCTCTACTGTACATAACTTATGTTCTAACTAGTGTTTCACCGATACCAGTGTCAGACAGGGCCCTGATACTACACTAAGGTGGTGGTGTCGGTATCGGCAAGTACCCACAAATAGGGCACTAATACCATTTTGAGAGCCAAAAGTTTATTCAACTATTCTCATCCATTCCAGGTAGGCAATAAAAGGTTCTACTGGATTAACTTTGTATTAGTCTTTTTCCTACTTCACAAAGGTAGGCAGCAGCTTGACAAAGCCATGATGGCAATTATTTTACATCCAAGTAGTATGCAGTTTTTCATATATACACACACACACACACACACACACACACACACACACACACACACACACACACACACACACACACACACACACACACACACACACACACACACACACACACACACACACACATCAATTTCACACTTGTACATCCAGGTATGGGGTCTCTTGGTATTGGGGCCAAAAATTGGCATCGGCGCAACACTAGTTCTAACTGCAGTGGTTTGACTTTAAGCTTTGAAGAATACATGAAACTGAACTGCTGGACTGTTACATTTTTAATTTAAATGACTTAGTGAATCATTTTAAACAGTTCCAGCATTAAATGTCAGTATTGATGGTATAAACCATAAAACTACCTCATTACAAACTATAGAAATGCTACAGTTATAATTAATTTAGCTCAATTCTTTGATTACTGATCAGGTAACTGAATGAAGACCATTTCCTATACATTTAATTTCAACATATTCATAAAGAGCAGAATAAATGCACTTCATATTGCAAAATATGTCCTTTCTGTTACATCATTGTTATTCTCAATAATACACCTATACATTGGAAAATGATGATGTTAAAAAAATCCTATATCTTATTTATTTGTTGCATTTTCTTACTACATATATTTCTCATTAGTGGCAGCTTCACAGAGTTGAAGTTAAATGTTGATATTTCTACAATATAAAGTGTTTGCTTAACATTTACCAAACCCTGTCTTTTTAATCCATGGAAACATTGCATGTTTCAAAAGATAATTAAATGGTAAATTTTTTTTTCACCCTGTAGAGAGGCTCTACTTGCTGAGATGGGTGTGGCTATGAGAGAAGATGGAGGTACTGTTGGCGTCTTTTCTCCCAAGAAGGTAAGATCATTGTTAATAAAGTGTGAATATAACATGATATATATTTCTCCCTCCTAACATTTTGTCAACTGTGGTAAAAAGGTGTTTCTTTAGCTTTTCCTAAAAAATTTATAAAAATATAAGCATTTTTTGTTTCCTGAAGCAGTGGGAACAATACATCCATCTTTTATAAAAACACCATATGGTATATTAAAGTGTCACATTTATTCTGTCCCTTAAATATTTCAGTAAAATTTATATTAATGTTTTTTTTTTCATGAAGTTGGAATGAGCAATGACTTTATTTTGGAATTTAAAACAGTTCAAGTCACATTGCACTACAAATCCCAAAACGACAAAAGTTGTTGTATCTCATGTTATTGGAGTTTCTTCAATGAATTGTTGTAGATGCTGATGGTTATAGGCAAGAAGGATCTCCTGTAGTGCTCTGTCTTACTGCTGTTCTGGAGAATCCTTTGACTAAAGACACTCGATTGTATGACCGCCTTATGAAGAAAATGCTTAGGATTTATGGAAGATTGATAGTTAATCTGCAGAGGTTCTAGAGTAGTGAAATTAAATAACCTCCTTTCACCCCGTTGTATAAATAATAAGGTCAAGTTTCATAAAGTTTAAGCTCCTATACCAATTCTTTGAAAAGGAAAATTATGCAGTTAGAATTAAAATAAGGCAAAGCTTTAGAAAAAATTGTTACAGAATATAGCTAAATACTGCGTGGAATATTAAAACAAATGCAGCATCTTTTTATTTGTAAACGATAGGTTTTGAAGAGGAACACTAAATTTGTCATATGCAGTTATAAGCATAGTAAAAGTCATGCTTTCTGAATTTTTCAATTAAAAAAATCCTTTTTGGATATTAACTTAATACACCTCTTTTAGGAAAGTGATTAAAGTGAAAGAACAAGAGGTAATTTCATTAATCTGTTTAAAAATTTTACAATTGGCTTAATGGTGTTGAATTTGGTGAAGGATTTGTTTCTCATCTAAAGGCCCTGAGTAACTCTTAAAAATGTATTCGTAAAGAAAAGCAGAGTTCTTATATGATAATATTGCAGCCTTTGAGAGAAATTTTCTTTTTCACTGATAACTAAAAACGGAACGCTATTGGTTTCTTTCCTAGTAAGGCTTTACTGTGACTCTCTATTTCAGACCCCTCATCTGGTGAATCTCAATGAAGACCCTCTGATGTCTGAGTGTCTGCTGTACTACATCAAAGACGGCATTACCAAGTAAAACTTTATGCATTCCTAATTCTTACGCTGGATTCATTCTGCAACTGTTTTCAAAATTTGGACCACTACTTTCCATTAGGGTTGGTCGTGAAAACGCTAAAACTCGACAAGACATCGTTCTTAGCGGCCACTTCATCGAAGATGAGCACTGCACCTTCAGCAGCACCACAAGCCCACAGGGTGAAGGTAAAATCTGATTGTGGCTGCATGGAAATGCTAAATAAAACATAAATATTTCAAGGAATATGTTAAAATTATTGATATAATTTTTCTTCTGGAGCAGGATGTGTCATCCTTGAGCCATGTGAGGGGGCAGAGACATACGTCAATGGGAAGAGAGTTACATCGCCTACAGTTTTGCGTTCTGGTGAGTATCTTTCATTGTTGTCATTAAAGTTGCTATTGAAACGATTCTCATAAAAAAACTACTAATCTTTAAAAGTAGGTTAAGTTAAGTTAACCCTGTTATCTTACATAAAGCAAATTTACTGGTTGTGTTTCGAATGATGATATCTAGCAACTTCTTTGAAGATGGTTTTAAAATTTTATCTCTGTCTAATTCTTTAAGGTAACCGCATCATCATGGGTAAGAGCCACGTGTTTCGCTTCAACGATCCAGAGCAGGCTCGTCTGGAGCGTGAGAGGACGCCGTGTGCAGAGACACCAGTGGAGCCTGTGGACTGGGCCTTCGCTCAGAGGGAGCTGCTTGAGAAACAGGGCATCGACATGAAGCAGGAGATGGAGCAGAGGTGAATCTGAATGAGCATCTATTGCTATAACATTATGCTATATTATCTTGTCAATACAAATCATTAGAAGATCTTATTTCACATGTTTTTCTCTGAATTTAAATCCTTAAGGCTTCAAGAGCTTGAGGACCAATACCGCAAAGAAAGAGAAGAAGCCAGTAACCTGCTTGAGCAGCAGAGGCTGGTGGGTAAAAGCTAAGCAAAAACATGTGATTCTTCCTGTTTTCGATACTGGCTTTAAGGGGACATACTACAGTTAATGGTGAAACACATTTCATGGCTCATTTCAGGACTATGAGAGTAAACTGGAGGCCCTTCAGAGACAAGTAGACTCTCGGTACCTGGAATCACCTGAGGAAGAGGAGGAGCCCGAGGAGGAAGGTAATGCTGTTTATGAACACAGATTTAAAACAAAATCACTTCAGTATCAGGCTTTTTTAAGTTAACCTACTTTTGCCTGCATTTGTCTACAGTCCCATGGACGCAGCGGGAGACTGAGCTGGCGCTCTGGGCCTTCAGAAAGTGGAGGTTCTACCAGTTCACCTCCCTGAGAGATCTGCTCTGGGGCAATGCCATCTTCCTCAAAGAGGCAAATGCTATTAGTGTGGAACTAAAGAAAAAGGTCAGCTTGTTATTATTGGTTACGTTTTTTTTTTTCACTTCTTAGAGCTCTACTTTAAACCTAAATTTGTCTTTACATGATTTCTCAATAGCATTATAACTACTAGTAACTCTAATTTTGACAATATAGCCTCCTGCTAAGGGTAGACAGACTGACGTATACAGTATACACAGTGCATCAGTCTGAAAGGAGCTGGTAGACTCTAATTTCAAGGTGGGATTACAATTGAAAAAGTACAGATGTGATGCCAAATATCAATTTTAAAAAGAAAAGCAAGTTGTTGACAATTCAAAGATATACCCAGTTATGCTTTTCCTGATTGGTTCAGTCTGTTTTAGACTGGAGAGTAGGCAGACTAGATTAGATAGATAGATAGACAGACAGACAGACAGACAGACAGACAGACAGACAGACAGACAGACAGACAGACAGACAGACAGACAGACAGACAGACAGACAGATATTCTTGCAGACATGTGGTCCATATTGTGTTGTATTTCCACAGGTGCAGTTCCAGTTCGTCCTGCTGACAGACACTCTTTATTCCCCGCTGCCACCTGACCTGCTGCCTCCCAGTGTGGCTAAGGAGAGAGAGAGGCGATCGTTCCCTCAAACTATTGTAGCTGTTGAAGTGCAGGATCAGAAGAACGGCGCCACTCATTACTGGACTCTCGAAAAGCTCAGGTAACAATAACGTAGAATTTAAAACATTTTGAGCTCTTTCATTCCTCTCTTACACTGACTGTTTCTGAATTTAGAGTAAACTTTTAATCCTATTAATCATCTTTTTTGTTTATCAAACAAATGGTTTCACCAATATTCAGCTTTTTTTTGTTTTATGGTTCCCCCTGCAGGCAGAGGCTGGACCTGATGAGAGAGATGTATGACCGAGCTGCAGAGCTGCCCAGCAGTGCTGTGGAGGACTGTGACCATGCTCTAACAGGAGGGGACCCCTTCTACGACCGCTTCCCCTGGTTCCGTCTTGTTGGAAGGTTGATTTTTATACAAGCAAAGATAATATCCTGCTGTCTAACCTGTAGCTCTGCCAACCAAAAACCTGTCATCACTCCTCTCCTTAGGGCTTTTGTGTACCTAAGTAACCTGCTGTATCCGGTGCCGCTGGTTCACCGCGTGGCCATAGTCAGCGAGAAGGGAGAGGTCAAAGGCTTTCTCAGGGTGGCCGTGCAGGCCATATCAGGTAGACACAAAATGTTATGTCAGCAACATTAGATGAACTGTGTTAAAACAACTGAAATGCAGGTATACCAATCTGTGGTCTGTTATATTTTAAGCTGATGAAGAGGCCCCTGATTATGGATCCGGAGTCAGACAGTCAGGCACTGCCAAGATCTCCTTTGAAGACCACCAGTTTGAGAAGGTATTTTGGAGGATTTACAGTTTTGTTCTTTACATCTAGTAGAAAATAAATAGCATACATACTTCTGACAGTGAATGTTAAATCTAGGAAAAAGAAAACCTTGCAGCAACAGTACCTTGTTTTAGTTTCAGATTGAGTCGTGTCCTGGTGGTATGTCACACTCCAACACCTCTCAGGAGGAGCTGAGAATTGTGGAGGGAGAAGGACAAAACGTTGAAATGGGAATCTCAGCAGATGAAGTGAACAACAACACCTGTGAAGGTGAGCAGGCAGTAGGTCTGCCCGGCAAATCTTTCAAAATATTATTTCAAAATTTTGTGCAAAGACCAACAGTTTTACTAGACTCCCAAAGTCCAGCATCTAATAGTTTTCATTAAAACAACCAATGCTTTAAACACATATTGATATTTTGTTTACCTTTGTTTATTTCAATAATTTAATGTATTAAATTAAAGGCAGTTTGACACGAGTTTCTCAGTATCTCTGTACCGTGCAGCCACTCACGAGGCCCCTCACAGCCCATCGAAGAGTTTAGGTCTGGATCTTCCCCTTGAGCTGTCTCCAGAGAAAGCTCTGTCCCACTTAAAGATCGGCAGCACCTTCACCTTCAGAGTCACCGTCCTCCAGGCCTCCAGCATCTCAGCAGAATATGCCGACATTTTCTGCCAGTTTAAGTGAGTTTAAAGATGGTTTTAAGGAAACATCTACTGGATATAGTTGTTTTTACTGTATTATGTAGAACTGTAATGATTGCTGCTAACATTTTAATTGTATTTAATCAACTGACCATAAAAAAAAAAAAAAATCAAACAAATACTGTACAAATTGTTGAATTTGGTATACATAAATTAGCGGTCGTAGTAATTTCTTTGAAAATATGCTTGATTTCACTTTTCAGCTTCATCCATCGCCATGATGAAGCTTTTTCAACTGAGCCACTAAAGAACACCGGCAGAGGGCCTCCACTCGGATTCTATCATGTACAAAATGTAAGCAGCCAGTAATTAGTTAGAACCCATCATCAAAACCAATTGGTGCCTCTGCACAGTAGCAGCTCCCTAGAGAGTCTACTTGAATGTAACTTCCTCTCTGTTCTATTAGATCACTGTGGAGGTGACCAAGTCTTTCTTGGAGTATATTAAGACTCAGCCTATCGTCTTTGAGGTGTTCGGCCACTATCAGAAACAGCCTTTCCCTCCATTATGCAAAGATTTGATCAGGTCTGGAATAATGTTGGCTCTTCTAAAATAGCAAACCAACATGCATTGTTGTTGAAGGAATTAAAATATTTATGTGATAGATTCCTTTTTTTTTTTTTTTTAGTCCTCTGAGACCCTCCAGGAGGCAGTTTCCACGTGTGATGCCTTTGTCCAAACCAGGTCAGTAGAAATTATCAACAGGGAACACAACTCATTAATTCATCTACATTAACATATTTCTTCATTCTAAACAAAGCACAGAAATAAGCTGTCTGAAATCTTGCATAACTTTAGGCAAAAATACCCCCCCCTCCTTTTTTTCTTTTTAAAGAAAAGTATTTTGCTGTGTCCTTATGCCCCTATGACCAAATTTAATTCCTTAATTTAAACGTTTTTGCAGATCTTTTTTCTTGAAATGGTTTAAAAGAAGTTATGTTTTTCTCATTGGATTGGATTTAATTTAATATTCTATTGGATTAAATAGTCTATTGTCGACAACAGTACCCAGTATTCTTCCTTCAAATAATAATTTAATATTTGGTGCAGTGTTTTATTACCTAATGACCCTTGTTTTAAGGTATCTATATTAAAACTGCTGACAAAGTAGGACCAAGAAGATTAATGTGAATAAAGCAACCTTGAGTCATCTTAAGTACAACTGAATTATTCAGCCTTTTCCTAAGTTTGATAATTTGTCAGAATAAGTTTTAAACCAACCATGCTTGTATGTATTTCGTCAACGTTTTTTCCTGCATGTCCTTTAACGATTGATGATATAGTTTTTCTGTATTTTTAAAACAAAATTAACAAGTATTAATTTAAAATTAAGATGCCAATAATAGGTTATTGGTGTGACTCTTATTCTCTGTAAAATTATAAAAATGCTTAAACTACTAAGAAAGGTAAGTGTATATGCAATGTTTTAGGTATGTACTGTAGGTATGATATAGTTATGACCAGGATATCAGAGGGGTATATAAAAAGTCAAAATCTGTGTTTTGTTTTTGTTCATGTTGATCTGTTTAGTGCCAGCCACCAAGCTCAGCACGCTGACTCGCTCCACCGCTGGACCTTGTCATGCCAAATATGATCTCATGGTCTTCTTTGAGATCTGTGAGCTAGAAGCTAATGGAGAGTGAGTCCTGCCTATTTGTTCTTATTCACTTTGAATGTTGAACAGAAATCAGATAAAGAGTTCTCCAGAAAACACATCACCTACTTGTGCATATATTCAGATGTAGTGCATTTATGTCTTTGTTGTCTCCTTTCTAGCTACATCCCAGCAGTTGTTGATCACAGAGGCGGGATGCCGTGCCATGGGACTTTCCTCTTACATCAGGTCCATTTTCTTTATATTTCACCATCATGGTCCCACCTACATATGGTTTTTATTATCATTCAACCATTTTTCCCATCATCCTTTGATTGCACAGGGCATACAGAGAAGGATTAGAGTCACTATTGCTCATGAAACAGGAAATGACATTGAGTGGAAGGAGGTGAAGGAGCTGGTTATTGGTGAGTGGTGTCTTGGATCAAGTTAGTTCAGTAAAAAAAAATTAAAAGAAATCCTAAAAAACTATATCAAATCTGCAAAGAAGCTTAAAAGAAATGTATTTTATTGTGATTCATCATTACAGGTCGCATTCGAAACACACCAGAGGCTGACGAGACCATCATAGACCCCAACATCCTCTCCCTCAACATCCTCTCCTCCGGATACTTTTGGCCAAAACACGATGACAAGTATGACTTTCCCCAATCTTATGTCGCCCGCCAATAACAACTGGTTTTGTATTTTCTTTTGCAATATTTCATTTTTTGAAAGCCCATTTTATTTTTGTATTCATATATACACTAACGTGCTAATATGAGCTTTTATTTTTTAGCTATTTACCAAATTTGCTGAGTTTTAAATCTTAGCAGCTCCAGTGGAGTAGTTTTTAATTTTTATCCTATTTTCTCTTTTTTTTCTTTAACGGCAGCGTTTCATTGGGAGTTGATCATAGGTATAAGAATGTTTTTAATGTATTTATTAAGATTGTTTTTTTTATGACAAAATACGGCGAGTCATTTGAAAGACTGCATTTTTATTTTTAAAAATCGTATTAATTTTTTTTTGTCATCGCAGAACCTTCTATCGATTTGAGGCAGCATGGGACAGCTCCATGCACAATTCTCTGCTTCTGAACAGGGTCACCCCATATGGGGAGAAGATCTACATCACTCTCTCTGCTTATCTGGAGGTAATATAAGTTTGGAAATGCTCTGAAAATGCTGCTTTAGGTTAAGTCTCTTTTTAGGAGGCATCAGCAAGTATAGGAACAAACATTACAATGTTCTTCTAACACGGTAAAAAGTCAGTTTTCCAACGATAAGGTAGTTTAAAAACCAAGTTACCCTAAAAGCAGTGATTCCCAACCGGGGTACTCATACCCCTAGTGGTCCGTGAGTGCATTGCAAGGCGTACATGAAAATATTTAATTTATTAGGTAGTAAAATAAAGTAGGGCTGGGATGTGTTTTGGTTTGTGAGGACCCAAGTAAAAAATAAAACAAGCTTTTATCAACCAAAAATTTATTTTTTCTTAAATTCACCTTCAGCTGTGAAACCCATCAAAACTAATCAGAGGAACAAATGTAAAGAACAGCCTGGGATCTGCTGTTTTTCACTGAGCTATCAGAGCTCATCAAAGCAGCTCAGGCATCTTGATGAAAACAAAGTAAAACTAATTAAGTCAGTCTGACTTGAATTGTTTATTTTATTCCCAATTCATCAAGCTAAAATGTGATTATAAGGAAGTTACTCAGAAGAGCTCCTATTTTGTAAATACAGGTTTATAATATGATTTTATTTTGTATTTAGTTTGATTCCTTACTGACTTCCAGGCAAAATATTAATGTTGTTTTTTTATTTGCGATAGAAAGCATAAAATGCCTAAGAATTAAATGCTCAAATTAAAAGATAAAAAATCTCAAGATAAAAATCTTATATGACTTGAAATTATTTTTAAATTAAATAATTTCTCAAATTGGTGGATAAAAAATAGTTGTCAAATGTTCAAATGTTACAGTAAATATGTTAAGTTTGGTCTTGTTTGGTCCAGCTGAGTGTGTTTATATGAACTTTTGTTGGCTGAGGCTGGATCAATCTGCCTGTGAGGTAGTATGATTAAAGGAATAGTACACCCAAAACATGATTAGCCTTAATTTTCTACTCACCCCCATGCTGAACAACACTCTGGAGTACTTTTTTGATATCTCAAATGCATCTGGAGATCTGGGAGGCTTCTTGCTTGGAAACTTGGAATACATTGGACAAGCAGTATGGAGGAATATTGAAACGTTTTTGTGGACTTTTATGGACCTTTCTGCCTCGGGCGCTGGGCACCTCCATTATTTGAATGTCAGCAGACAGCAAGAAGCCTCCCAGATCTCCAGATGCATTTGAGATATCAAAAAAGTACTCCAGGGTGTTGTTCAGCATGGGGGTGAGTAGAAAATGAAGGCTAATCATGTTTTGGGTGTACTATTCCTTTAAGGATCAGCAAGGTGAACAAAAAAAACAGCATCAGCCACCAGTTCCAGATTCCTCTGAGGATTTTATTTGGTACTTTTAACTCTGATGACCATCCCTCTAGCTTCCCAAAACTCACTGTTTTTATAACAAATTGGCAACACACCTGCAGTTGAGTGGACCAAATCACAATTAAACACATAAAAAATCATAAACAAAATCTAAAAGGACAAGCAAGAACGAAATTATTAATCTAAATTACAAACTCATCTACATAATGGTAATTATGATAATACAAAACTCAAAACGTTGCTTTAAAGAAAATAGTAAAATAAAAAAGGCAAACTCATTTTACAATTTATTCATAAGAAATGTATAAATTGTGCAATGAATGTTTAATACATTTTTTTAAACCCCCTCTCGCCTCTAGGGGGTGCTCCAGCACCCCCACTACCCGCGGACATCTTCAGCCATTTTAGCAGGAAATACTGTGACGAAGAATAGTGAGTAAAAAGGAAAACAAATACCATGAATATACGATGAAACAAAATACACAAGTTCAACCAACAGTCCAGAAGTAGAAGCTTTAACCAAAAAATAAAAATAGATGGAAACTGCAACATAATGCTAACACAAACAAACCCGGGCTAGTAAGTGAAGCCAAGTTGCAAACTAATGATTAAATTTAAGCATTATGATCAGAAATAAAAATAAGGGTAATGGTGAACACAAACTGAACCACTTTGGCACATTACCAGATGAGCTGCAACTGCTGAGTCAGTCATACAGTATCTCTGCAAAGAAAGGCATAAACTTTTAACTTGTGTCAGTTATACTGAAGCTTCTAGAATGCCACATTCCTGTGCTTTACAGTATTTGTAGTTGGACTCATGATCAGATAGGGAACCCCCGACTAGCTTTTGCAAAAGTATACTACATTTTTCAATAAACTCTTGACCACATAGCATTTCTCTACAATAGTTGAAGGAAAGGGAACTAATATCTTCATGGAACATCTCCCCAAATCTAGTCCTTTACTAGGTGTAATAAGTGGGGCTCCTTTAGATTGTGAACAATGATTGTTCATGTTTTTAAATCAAAAAACTTAAGTAAGGTTGGTATTATATAATTTAATTATTTTCCATGCCAAGTTGTTATAGCAAATGGCCCCTTTAGTTTTTTACATATTTATAGCATTTTGTTGAAACAGGAAACCAGATGCTCAGTGCTATATTTTCTGTCATATTAATACTCCCTTTATTTTATTATATGTATAGATGGAGAACTGCACTCAGCCAACAGTTATCACCAAAGATTTCTGCGTGGTGTTTTACTCCCGTGACACAAAGCTGCCAGCCTCCAGATCCATCAGGAACTTCTTCAGCACTGGCTGCCTCAGGCCCTCGGAGAGGTAGACATTCATAAACAGCCCAATTAGCCCTATCCTTAAATTTAAATGTCTCAGTCGTAGCTTCTATGACATCTATGTCTGAGATGTTGACTCTCTTTTTTTTTTTTTTCTCTCAGTAATCGTGTCACCGGGGTTTATGAGGTCACTCTCTGCCATGTCGCTGACAATGGAAGTCCAGGTAATTGGTGAATGGACGAAGAGAAACCTTAAAGAAAATAATAAATAACAACAAGAATTTACATATTTAATACTTTTATAGATCTGGATGCACAAAAAAAAATGTTTTTATATATGAATTCTCTCTGTCAGGCATGCAACGTCGTCGTCGGCGGGTGCTTGACACATCAGTGGCGTACGTGCGAGGGGAGGAGAACCTGGCGGGTTGGAGACCCCGAAGTGACAGCCTCATTCTGGATCATCAGTGGGAGCTGGAGAAGCTCAGCTTACTGCAGGAGGTCAGTTTATAAACCAAATGCCATCCAATAAGACAAATAAAAAAAACAGAAAAAAGAAATTGCTATTGGGTTACCTTTTATGTATTCTAACAGCCTGTAGAGGAACATTTTTAAGATAGTAATGAAAGTCCTTCTAATGAAGTTTTAAAAACTGTAGTCTGTGGTGTCTATCTTACAACAACGGAGTGAGCATATACAGGAGTGATCAAAGATTCAACAAATATATATTTTAAATGGGGAGCACCTTGATACATGAATGTAATATTATATTATGTTATATCCTCACTGGGAAACATTTGCATTATTATTATTATCTTTAATGCTTTTGATGTTTTAGTTACAGGATTTTAAACTGGTTTTAGTATTTATTTCATTTGCATGCTTTAATTACTTGTCTTTTTTTGTCCAACTATATATGTTAATAAAAAATGTTTAAAGGAAAAAAACAAACAAATTAAACATGCTTTCAATAATTAGGTCTAGAACATACAGGTGCTGGTCATAAAATTAGAATATCATGAAAAAGTAGATTGATTTCAGTAATTCCATTTAAAAAGTGAAACTTGTATATTATATTCATGCATTACATACAAACTCATATATTTCAGATGTTTATTTTGTTTAATTTTGATGATTACAAATGACAACAAATGAAAATCTCAAATTCATCATATCAGAAAATTAGAATATTACTGAAGACCAATAAAAACAAAGGATTTATAGAAATGTTGGCCAACTGAAAAGTATGAACATGAAAAGTATGAGCATGTACAGCACTCAGTATTTAGTTGGGCCTCCTTTGGCCTGTATTACTGCAGCAATGCGGCGTGGCATGGAGTCGATCAGTCTGTGGCACTGCTCAGGTGTTATGATAGCCCAGGTTGCTCTAATAGTGGCTTTTAGCTCTTCTGAATTGTTGGGTCTGGTGTATTGCATCTTCTTCTTCACAATACCCCATAGATTTTCTATGGGGTTAAGGTCAGGAGAGTTTGCTGGCCAATTAAGAACAGGGATACCATGGTCCTTCAACCAGGTACTGGTAGCTTTGGCACTGTGTGCAGGTGCCAAGTCCTGTTGGAAAATGAAATCTGCATCTCCAAAAAGTTGGTCAGCTGCAGGAAGCATGAAGTGCTCTAAAACTTCCTGGTATGTGGCTGCGTTGACCCTGGACCTCAGAAAACACAATGGACCAACACCAGCAGATGACATGGCACCCCAAACCATCACTGACTGTGGAAACTTTACACTGGACTTCAAGCAACGTGGATGAAGTGCCTCTCTTCTTTTCCTCCAGACTCTGGGACCTTGATTTCCAAAGGAAATGCAAAATTTACTTTCATCAGAGAACATGACTTTGGACCACTCACCAGCAGTCCAGTCCTGTTTCTCTTTAGCCCAGGCAAGACGCTTCTGACGCTGTCTGTGGTTCAAGAGTGGCTTGACACAAGGAATGCGACAGCAGAAACCCATGTCTTTCATACGTCTGTGTGTGGTGGTTCTTGAAGCACTCACTCCAGCTGCAGTCCACTCTTTGTGAATCTCCCCCACATTTTTGAATGGGTTTTGTTTCACAATCCTCTCCAGGGTGCGGTTATCTCTCTTGCTTGTACACTTTTTTCGACCACATCTTTTCCTTCCCTTCGCCTCTCTATTAATGTGCTTGGACACTGAGCTCTGTGAACAGCCAGCCTCTTTAGCGATGACCTTTTGTGTCTTGCCCTCCTTGTGCAAGGTGTCGATGGTCGTCTTTTGGACAACTGTCAAGTCAGCAGTCTTCCCCATGATTGTGTAGCCTATAGAACTAGACTGAAAGACCATTTAAAGGCTTTTGCAGGTGGTTTGAGTTAATTAGCTGATTAGAGTGTGGCACCAGGGGCCATCAATTTTGAACCTTTTCACAATATTCTAATTTTCTGATATGATGAATTTGAGATTTTCATTTGTTGTCATTTGTAATCATCAAAATTAAACAAAATAAACATCTGAAATATATGAGTTTGTATGTAATGTATGAATATAATATACAAGTTTCACTTTTTAAATGGAATTACTGAAATCAATCTACTTTTTCATGATATTCTAATTTTATGACCAGCACCTGTATCCTTTGATATGTGGGTAGAGGTTGCTTTTCTGACAATTCTTTCACTGAAGAATTTAAATCTTATATCCACTGGAATTCTATGGTTTGTCTCTGTTTGTTTTAGGTGGAGAAGACAAGGCATTATCTCCTGCTGAGAGAAAAACTAGAGGCAACTCTTCAAGCAGGGCAGGACGCGCTTTACAAAGGCAGCGACATTTGTGACTTTGCAAAGAGCCCAGTACTCAGCAACAGCCCGAGTGGTACCCCCTCCACTCCTGACAGCCCCAACCAGAGGCAGAGGGAGCTGGCTGCTAAGGTGATTGCAATAGCTTAAGTTAACCTCCTGTTATCCTCTGGCCTTTTTGCATTCTGTTATTTAATAAATGCCTTTTTTCTTTTACTTCCTTCTTCCCAGTGTCTGCGTCTGCTGATGCATACATTCAACAGAGAGTACAGCCAGGTGAGCAGCAGTGCCAGTGAAAGCAAGGTGAGCCCCAGCCTAGGCCCTTTAACCCGACCCCTTATATCTTCATCTTTACTAATATCTCAGCTAATCTTTTGATTCCATTAATCAAATCTGGCTTTAACACTTGCTTACAGTTAGTATCTGTAGCTCTATTAAAGGAACTTTTTGTTCTATCGAATAAGATTGGGTAGAGCAGTCAGAGCTAACAGCTATTGGAGAATTAGGTGGTAAATCCACACTAGGCATTTCCTTAAACCTGAAATATGTTCAGGCCTGGTATCAATACAGCACACCATTTAGATAACTGGACTTGCATCAAATCCAGCATGATTTTTAGTGAAAAATATCGACTCTCTCCCTTTTATACACGCTCTTTACCTCATCTATATACAGGTGCTGGTCATAAAATTAGAATATCATGAAAAAGTAGATTGATTTCAGTAATTCCATTTAAAAAGTGAAACTTGTATATTATATTCATACATTACATACAAACTCATATATTTCAGATGTTTATTTTGTTTAATTTTGATGATTACAAATGACAACAAATGAAAATCTCAAATTCATCATATCAGAAAATTAGAATATTACTGAAGACCAATAAAAACAAAGGATTTATAGAAATGTTGGCCAACTGAAAAGTATGAACATGAAAAGTATGAGCATGTACAGCACTCAGTATTTAGTTGGGCCTCCTTTGGCCTGTATTACTGCAGCAATGCGGCGTGGCATGGAGTCGATCAGTCTGTGGCACTGCTCAGGTGTTATGATAGCCCAGGTTGCTCTAATAGTGGCTTTTAGCTCTTCTGAATTGTTGGGTCTGGTGTATTGCATCTTCTTCTTCACAATACCCCATAGATTTTCTATGGGGTTAAGGTCAGGAGAGTTTGCTGGCCAATTAAGAACAGGGATACCATGGTCCTTCAACCAGGTACTGGTAGCTTTGGCACTGTGTGCAGGTGCCAAGTCCTGTTGGAAAATGAAATCTGCATCTCCAAAAAGTTGGTCAGCTGCAGGAAGCATGAAGTGCTCTAAAACTTCCTGGTATGTGGCTGCGTTGACCCTGGACCTCAGAAAACACAATGGACCAACACCAGCAGATGACATGGCACCCCAAACCATCACTGACTGTGGAAACTTTACACTGGACTTCAAGCAACGTGGATGAAGTGCCTCTCTTCTTTTCCTCCAGACTCTGGGACCTTGATTTCCAAAGGAAATGCAAAATTTACTTTCATCAGAGAACATGACTTTGGACCACTCACCAGCAGTCCAGTCCTGTTTCTCTTTAGCCCAGGCAAGACGCTTCTGACGCTGTCTGTGGTTCAAGAGTGGCTTGACACAAGGAATGCGACAGCAGAAACCCATGTCTTTCATACGTCTGTGTGTGGTGGTTCTTGAAGCACTCACTCCAGCTGCAGTCCACTCTTTGTGAATCTCCCCCACATTTTTGAATGGGTTTTGTTTCACAATCCTCTCCAGGGTGCGGTTATCTCTCTTGCTTGTACACTTTTTTCGACCACATCTTTTCCTTCCCTTCGCCTCTCTATTAATGTGCTTGGACACTGAGCTCTGTGAACAGCCAGCCTCTTTAGCGATGACCTTTTGTGTCTTGCCCTCCTTGTGCAAGGTGTCGATGGTCGTCTTTTGGACAACTGTCAAGTCAGCAGTCTTCCCCATGATTGTGTAGCCTATAGAACTAGACTGAAAGACCATTTAAAGGCTTTTGCAGGTGGTTTGAGTTAATTAGCTGATTAGAGTGTGGCACCAGGGGCCATCAATTTTGAACCTTTTCACAATATTCTAATTTTCTGATATGATGAATTTGAGATTTTCATTTGTTGTCATTTGTAATCATCAAAATTACACAAAATAAACATCTGAAATATATGAGTTTGTATGTAATGTATGAATATAATATACAAGTTTCACTTTTTAAATGGAATTACTGAAATCAATCTACTTTTTCATGATATTCTAATTTTATGACCAGCACCTGTATGTACTATTAGAAAATAGAAAAAAAAAACTTCCCAGCAGTTGCATGGGACCTTGGTTTACTTTTTTAATTGCTCAATCATCTGTCTCAACACATTTCTGTAGGATGTAATCTTTGCTTTAACTACTTTTTTTATGTGGTTCAGACTTTTCATTTTAACAAACCACTTATTAAAATAATGCCTACCAAACTGGAAAAATATGCAATGACTAGGAAGCATGTCAGCTTAAATAGTACAATGCATGTGTAGCACCCATGTATCTACATGCCTGCACTGAGTAGCTGTAAGATAGGGAGCTGTTAGCTGTTTTATTTTTATTTTTTTTGTAATTATTCTCAGAATTTACACCACAAATATTATTAATTTGATTAATTGTTAGTTAGGCTTTGGAAATACATATTTTACAGAAATTATATTCCTAATATGAACTACTATATTTGAAAACTCTTGCCAATACATTTCTAAAATATTAAACTCGGCAGAAATCCCTCCTATTTGGTTCAGTCATCTCACCGTAGTCCCTCTAAGCTGCAGTTTAACAGGTGAAGTTCACCTCAAGCAGAGTGTACATGAGTCTGAGCCCTAGTCTCTGACATTTCTGTACTGTTCTTCTCAATTAGTTATTATAATAGAAATCACATGAAAATGGAGTGATGTCAATAAAAAGGTGTATATTTCAGTGTGACCTGTTGTATGTATATGAGGTGTAAGATCAAAAATAAAACCTGTATAAATTAAGATATGCAAAAAATAAAATAAAATATATATAGATATTATTAGTAACCTTAAACTAAAAAAAGAGAAAAGATTGATTTACTTGAGGGTCTTAAACCTGTGTCCTCAAACCTGTGTAAATGAGGCAGTTTGCTGTAATAGTGACATTGATTTCGTAGGATGTTAAATGAGCAGATTAGATTAAAAGATTAATTTTCTTTTGATAAAGCCTAATCTTTATTACCTTATCAACTCCTTTCCCCCCTAATTTCATCCCTATTTTCTCTAATTAATATTCTCAAATCTTTAGAGACTGGGAAGTTTCCACTAACCTAATAACACTATAAGCCTGCAAACTAAAATCAAGGGGCTCTTAGATATGAAGACAAATTCCAGAACATTTCCTTCTATACATTATGGAAACTGACGAAAATCTAATTGAGATGTTCTCTGAATGCATGTCTCTGTCGTCCTTGTTTAAATGTTTGCTGATATGTTTTGTCTTTATCTGTATTTGTCCCTCCTTTGTTGCTGTTCTTTGTTTTCCTTCCTTCCTGTGTGTGTGTGTGTGTGGGGGATGATTTTTAGCTTTCAGAAATGTCGGTGTCACTACTGAGGGACTCGTGCTCCTCTGGCCTGAGCACACTTACTCCCTCCTCTACCTGCCCATCATTGGTGGATGGTCATTTTGACATTCGGTAAGTAAAATACTTCATTGGTATCTTTTCCAACACTTTGGAAAATATAGATTTTTGCTTCGTCTATAATTATTTTTTTTATTAATTCAATGATTTTGGATTAAAATGTTTTTTTTTTCCCCTATTAGATTTTTTTTTTCTGAAATATAAAAAAATAAAATAAATATAAAAAAAACAGTCTATGGGCATAAGTGTAGCTTTTTTAATGAGTTGCTGTGGTCTTGTAGACTCACTGAAACAGGCTCAGGAGCATCAACACCGGACCTGGACCCTTTCAGCCCAGTGGACAGAAAGAAAGCTCTAAGAGGATACACCTTTGTTCCTGACATACAGGAGATCCGTGTTAGGTGGGAAAACAATCAGCCTTTAATTTGTTTTTATCACTTTGAAAAATATCCCACTTGTTATTAATAAAACTGTTCACCTATTTGTTGGATTTTTATAAAATCACACAATATCATGAGTTAAAAAGTTCAAGATGTTGCTGTTACCTTTTGCCTTATATTTTTTTAGCTCTAAACATGTTTGCAAAATAGTTTCATTTTCTCATGTATTGATTTTCTTTGTACATTCAGCCCCATCGTGTCAAAGAAGGGCTACTTGCATTTCCTGGAGCCCCACAGCAGTGGCTGGGTGAGGCGTTATGTGGTTGTCCGCAGGCCATATGTCTACCTGTACCGTAGCGAGAGGGACAGCGTGGAGAGGGCTGTTATCAATTTATCGTCTGCTAAAGTGGAATACAGTGAAGATAAACAGACATTACTGAGGGTATGTTTAAACATTTATTTAAGAAAGAAATCAACAGTCTCAGTGTTAGGGTTTCACTGCTACATATAGGTGACTTTTAATAACCTCTCTTTGCATGTTTCACGTCTGCAGACACCCAACACATTCGCCGTGTGCACTGAGCATCGTGGGATACTGCTGCAGGCTGCCAATGACAAAGAGATGCACGACTGGCTGTATGCTTTTAACCCTCTGCTAGCCGGTACCATCAGGTAGGTGGTGGAAAATGAATAAAGTAGTCACAACCTTAAACTTTCTTTGGAGTTTTCCAAATGGTTTCCTTCACGTAACTCTAAAAATTAGAGTAAAATTTAGAAGTTATGTCTAAAATTGCATCAATAAGTATATATTTTCATTTTAATGTCCACTCTTTAGATTTTATGAAGTTTTAACCTGCGAGCATATTTACATATTATAGCCAATTTCAATTTCTTTTTAAGAACTAAATTATGCATAGATATTAGAACAACATGGGAGGTTTTTTGCTTATAACCTTCCTTCATGGCAAGGGATTGTACATTCATGTTGAGAGCAGAGGGGACATAAAACAATTGAAATTAACTATAATATACAGAGTTGTTTTTTTTTTTAAACAAAGACACAAATATAACTGAAATTACATTGCTCAACTGTCTAAATGATTGAGTTAAATACAGTTAACATGTCCAGCAGTATAAAAAACAGTTTATGTGATTGTAGGGCTTAAGTTTTGAGATTTCTCCAAGGCTACAATCCAAAATCCACGATCCATGTATGGAGGACTTAGTTCTCGACATGAGCGAACCGGGTTCAAATCTGGCCTGTGGTGGCCACTAGTGCCGTAAAAAATCAAAAAGAAAAAAAAAAGGATGAAACCAAGAACCTTTCCTCTAATCCCAATTTTTTAAAACTTTAATCTGCTAAAGATTTTGCTCTCAGTTTGGAATACAGTTTAATTTTATCTAATTCTGCTCTGTATTTCCTCTGAATGAACCTAGCTAAATGAGTATGTTTCTCCTTCAGGAGTGTGACATGGCAGCCTTTTTATATTTACATTAACATTTTTTTAGCACTAGTTTGCAAACAGTAACTTCTGTGACATTGTATATGCCTTTCTTTTAACTCTTTGGAAATGTATTATTTAACAGGATAAGAAATGCTATAAACCAGTTAGATACTCAATACACATCATTTATAACTCTGCTTCCTTCCTTCAGGTCAAAGCTCTCCAGAAGAAAGTCAGTCCAGTCGCTCCCGGCTGCTCAGCGGCTCTAAAAGGTGAACCAGCCTTGAGGACAAACTGCAAAAGAACAAACAATCTTAAAGCTCATGTCAGCGTTCTGCTCTGATGAATGCAAACCTTACAGCAAATGTTTCCATAGATATGATGACCAGCGCTGTCCCATAACAAAAAAACATCCTTGGTCTATTTTTGCAGTCCTCTCCTCCAACCATGCATGGTGTGCTCCCTTTTGAACTTTAGAACAGTTTATAAGGAAAATTAACCAATCAAACCTGATTATCAGCTTAGTTCTTCTGGATATTTGGGACTTATTCTGATTAGTTTTAATGTACTTGTAGGAATATGTTATCTGTAAGACTGCTAGATTGCTGTAAAAAGATGTGACCTGTTCCTCTTTTATCATTACTAAAAGTACATCCCTGTAGTAAAACAAACATTAACCACTTATTGTATCAGGAAGGCAAAGGAAAAGCATCAGACTGGATTCTTCTTTATGTAGACCTGTGTACAGTGTGGGGATGATAGCCTCATATACATCATACTTATAGTGTAAAATACCTCAGTTTGGATCTGCTTGATGCAGCATGAAATTCTTCACTTCATAAACATCAGATGGCAAAGAGGGAAAACTGATTTTTCTAATTATTTAAGCTCAAAAGTAGCATGAGGACAGATATGTTAGGATGAAAGTGTGTTCTTCCTGTATTGTATCTCTAAGTAGTTCCATGAAAACTGGATTCATTGGCTAAACTAAGGCAAAATAATTCATTGTAAGGAGAGAGAACTGTTTCCTTTCCTTGCTTTTTTTTTAAAGCACTCCCCATGATGTTGCTATTGTAAGTCTTCTGCAATGTTATTTATTTGTGACAAGACCACTAACAGTTTTGTTGCTTGGCACTTTATTGTCTATATATTTATGATTTATTGTTTTATTTAAACCAAAGTACCATTTTGCGTTAGATTATGTTTTGCATATATGTCAACGAGTGTGAATGGTATTATTTTAAGATGCACTTTTTATGTTCAGAAATTTAGTTTATTTTCTAATGTAGAAAATTAGAACATAACACTGATGCTTTCATAATAAGCAAGAAACTAGAGAAAGATTGACTTAACTCTAAAGACAAATGGAAAGCTAAGATGATCACAAGCTGAATTTTATAAAATGTATTTTTTTGTGTGACTTTCACACATTTGTTTTCAAAGCTTACTGTCTTTTTAGTAAAGCTTCCCATTCAAATTAAGACAAAAATAACACCTCAGTCTAAGAGGTCCATACATTAAAACAAAGTATAACATTTATTCTCTGAGCAAAAACACCAACCCAAAGGACATAGTTTGGTGTATAAACATGGACCTTTAATTGGTTTAAAGTATCTTGCCCCATATAGTGCCTCCTTTTTTTCCACCTTACTTCCTCTTCTTCCTTCCCCATAACCTTATATAGCAGCGCAACATCTAATGACAAGTGATTAAAGTTAAGCTTTCACATATATTAGCATTATCTGTAATATTTTGTTTTTCTTTGATTTTTCAAGTCTGCTTAATATCAATTAACCTCTAAACACTGAACAAGCTGACAATGTTGTCTTTATAAGCGGACCTACTAGATTTAAAGCCACACTGCAGCCTAAATATCAGTTATCTAATACATGATTAGCTGCTGTAGTAACTAATTTTAGGTTGAGAGATTCTTTATTGTTAGTGTGACCATTTTGTATTGTACCAAGAGGGCCTAGTGAAAGATAAGAATAAAAACATGAGAGGCCAAAATGACAACCTATAATGGCATTTATTATTGCAGATGATATAAAGCACCTCTCTGATCACAGCTCTGGTCAGCCAGCCAGTCTGCCTTTTCAGTGTAGCTCTTGCTTTCCTTTTTTTCCTGCCAGGACCAGACTGTGGGCAAACTTGACTTATAGCCAGTAAACAAGTGACTGCGTGCAACAGGCCAGCCAACCTGTTGAGCAATGCAGCCTGACGCTGTGAAAGTCAAAGTCTACCTGGTCGTGTTTTAAAATATATGGTGCCACTGAGCAAACATTCTGTTTGGCATTTTTATTTTTTTGTGTTGCCTATCAAATGATGAAATTCAGCTTTTTGGAACATAGGATGTTCTGCATTGCCAATTTATATGCACACAATGCATCTTTAATGATGCATTGTTCACTCTTTTATTATTGTCATAGTCTTTTAAAAAGAAAATCAAACGAACAAACGAACAAAAACCCACCACACAAGTACTTATTTTCCAAGTAGGCAGCTTGCATTGCATCTAGCTCAAGTAGCTAAAGAGTTTCATGTTAAAATTTCTGAGACAATTCTGAAACTGTTAAATTTCTTATCCGGCTTGCTTCATATGTCATGGTTTTGGATCAAAGCATGCTGGTCTTGTTTTCTTCGTTGAATCCTGTCCTTCTCTCCTGCCTTACAGCTTGCTAATGACAACAGCTTTCCATTCCAGAAGTGCTGCTTGTAAAGTATTGTTATTCATGATCCTTGTAACAATTAACTGGAACCCTTCCTCTTGGCTCTGTCTTGTATATAAATTGAGATTTCCTTTTTGGGTCTCATCACACAGATAATCCATTTTCCTGTGTTTTATGATGAAAAAATATGTCTCCCTCTTTGTCAAGTATCCCAGCAGAATGAAAAGTACAGATCAGGGATCTGTTTTGCACCTGTTCACTCAGTGTGGATGAGGTCTTTATGTTAATACTGGGAGGTGGTCCAAGATTAGTGCACTTGCTTGGAATCACTTGACAAAAGCAGAGACAGGTCTCAGCCTAAACACAGTGCTCACATTTATCTTTTGAGTGTTCTCCAGTTCTTTCTCATGTCTGTGGACACATAACAACTATTGTCAAATAAATAAAATATGGCAAATAAATAAATAAATGGGTGTTAAAACTTGTGCAATATGTGTGTCTGATATTTTTTGTCATTTTTTCAAGTTTATATTCACACTTAATGAGGAAAATTTAAAGAATAAGGACATTTTAATATTTTTCAAGCCCGGAGTTCCTAACAAGTCAAAATGTGGTCTCTTGCACTTTCAGTTTTTTTACTCCAAGTAGATACTGTGGATAAACATAAAGTTATTTACCAAGGCAATAAAATAAATTTTGCGTAAGTTATTCATATGTCACCAATAAAAAACAGCTAATATCTCTATCATGAAATGCTGTTGATAATGTTTTACATTTAAGGTATATACTTTTTGGGTTGTGAAAGATTTTGCCTTCCATAATAAGGTTCTAAATGATCGAGTTTGTGCAGATGGAGCCACGCAGTTAATAGATCATGGCTCTTCTTGTATCTGTTCTATAACATTTTGTACTGTTTCTCCAGGTGAACACGTGCCAGCCTTTGTGTGGCTGCCTCTTTGCAAGACTTCTATTATTGATTGGATTCTCACCATGTTCTCTGCTGCAACACAGTAACACTAAAGTCCCATTACCAGAGCCAGGAATACTAGGCTTGACACAAAGAGGCCCTGGACTAATCCAGAGGCCTCTCGTGTTTCTCTTCCTGCATCTGCCATTACATGCAATTTATGTATTAGGTTGACTTTAATAAGATTAGGCATAATAGCTGGTAAATTAGGTCTGGTATGCAAAAGTTTTAAGCTAAATGTGCTAAAAAAATAAAATAAAAAGATTCAGGTGATGCTTAAATACTGAAAATGAATAACTAAGCTCTGTAACTGTGACATAATTTATGTACATATGAATAAACTAGTGTACATTTCTTGAGCTATCCACAATTTCTTCCATCTGAGTTTTAAATTGTACTTTGGATTCCTTTGCAGCTTTAACAACCAAGTCAAATGTAGTTCATTTGCTGAAGGTTGATTTCTGCAGCTCAATATGAAGCACACCTTAACAAACAGAAGGTCAGCAGTGCATATGTCATAAAAATACCAAATCTTTCTTTTCATTTCTTATGGCGACCCATGAAACAATCATGAACATGGCTTGTTTTATAACAACAACAAAAATTTTAAAAACCAATGAAGAGGGATCAGTCAGATTTCTATTTTATTGGCAAACTGTCACAAAAACAGACTCTTAAGAGTCTTAAGAGAAGGAATTTACAGTTTGATCTGTTTTTATAAATGTTTAGATTATATTGGATAAAACATTAAATGAAAAAAGATTCCAATTTGAAATATATTGGTAAAACTATTCCCTTTTCTATCTCTTTAGATTCACTGCTGTCTCAGTTCATCACTATAACCAGCCACAAAATGGTGCCCGTTTAATAATTCTCTCTGTGCTTATCTGACCACCAGTAGAGGTCGCCAAAGTAAAGCAAACCAAATATAAACAGATTTATTACCAGCTTTAAGGAGCATGCAGCAGAAAGCCGTGGAAAGGGCGTGCAGATTGATTGGCATCCTTTATGCACCATCAATCTGATCATGTGTGCTCAGTAACCTACAGCTTTTGTCCCCACATACATTCACACAGCTATCGTTTCTATAGTTCTAGCTCCAAGTCATCCTATCCCACTGCTTTAATTATGCACACTCAGAGGCCCCCCTGTCTGAGGTTTGGGTCGAGTTGATGCTGCTGAATTGACTTTATTTGTTATTGGCTTCTGGTAAAGAGGAGGACGTACTGTAAGTCTTTTTTCAGTCCTCCTTAGTCTTTAGGTTTTTTTGCAGGCTTTAGGGATCCTCTTTACGCTGCAGGGGAACAAAATGTAAGTATGATTGGAATTTTGCTTAAAGTTATTGCTTCATTTTAATGATATTGATTCACTTACACACACAAAAAAATTTATGCATTTTTGAAAAGAAAACTTTTAAGTGCCACTTTCTGTTATCAGATATACACAAAGAAAGGTGGTTGTTTTGTCAATTTTAAGCAATTGCTCTGTTGTTATTGCCTTGGTGGATGAGGTATGAAAGGAAACCAGCACAGAAAAAATTAACAACAATATTTTCAGAAACTGTTCAAGCAATGAATGTTTTCCATTCATCTATATTAGAGGAACAATTCAGCAAATATAAATTTCTGCTTTTTTCTTCACAATATTCAATCTCTAAACAATGATTTAGGGATGGCAAGCAGTGGATAAAATGTTATGTTTTAGTCTTCAAAGACACATGTTAGATTTGTAAAATCTCTCTCATGCTTTCTCCTGCTCTCTGTTGGGTGCTGCTATATATCCATGGTCCAGGCTCCAGTTTCACCACTTCCTGTCTTAGTTTCAAGCACGAAAGGCTGCTGCCTATGTCCTCGCATTAACACAGTCTGTGTTTGCCATTAGGCAGGATTACTGTCCATGCTGATTGCTTTGGAGATGCTCACGGATATGTGTTACTTCACATTTCTGCAGCATCTGGAGGTCATTTTTTGCATGTTATATTGTCTTTTAGAAAGAGGGACTGCTGCTTCTTGGAGCTACCAGAGTGTGAAATTGGAGTATGAGAATGGAGAACATCAAGGTGACCATCGATCTGAAATAAAATTCATCTGAAAGGAGGGAAAAACAAAGTGTATAAGAACAGGTTATATGGTGGTATTTGATTGAAGTCACAGATTGTTTTGCTGTGCTGTGTAAAACCTTACCTTTAGTTTGAATTAAGGAAAATAGTTTGGAACCAGATGATTGGAAATATAGATTATATTAAACATAGAGAAAAAAATGTGTGTAAACTCCATGTGTTTAGGTTAAAACATACATTTATATTGGCCAAGCTGTTCTTTGGACCATTGCTCATCCCTGCAGTGTCTCCCCAGCAGCCTGTAAAAGAGGTTCTCCCCCTACCACGCCATCCCACCCCACTTCCTTTGACCTCCACCTCTATAACTGCTGCTGCCTCCTCCAACAAACCAGCTACAGGGTCCATCCAGCATGTTCACTTGGCCTCTTCAGGTAATCAGCAAAGAGATACGAGAAACGAGAAATCTCTGTGGATCGTCTTTTGCTCTTATGACAAAGCAACATAAAGAGGTGCATAATTGTGTAGTGGAATAAAAAAAATATTTTAGCATGTGTTGGATAATCAAGGATTTAAGCCTCCTACTTTAAAAAAAACTCACAGGGTATTATTAAAATGAAAAAGCCAAGTGGGAAACTGTGTCGACAACAACAAAAATACTACCATCAAAGTCAACAAATAAGGTTCTGATGAAATATTCATAAGAAATTGATGAAAATAAGCTATAGGTCAGATGATACAAAGACCATCATTTTTATTTTTACCTTCATACAAAATGTACTTTTGTTGTAAAACTGGCACAATACATCAGCTTCAACACTATTTACTCTTGCTAAAACATGGTGGTGGCAGCATATTGCTGTAAACATGCTTTTCTTCAGAGCGGAAGCTTCTCAGTGTTAATTAGAGCTTGACTGCAGCTTAATTGGACTGCAGTCTTGAGATGGAAACCAGTTATAGGCAGCAAATATTCAGGTAGTGCAGATTTTGACCCTACAAAAACAGAGAATTCCAAACAGTCATGATTTTACATGCCAAGTTAATTTCCTTAGAAATCGCAAATTAGTTTATGAAACTGACGGAGGAGCAACAGAAAACTGCAAGAAAAAACTAAGACAATAAAAAATATTTGAATGCACATATTTATATTTCATATATAAATCTCCCCCATATCTTTTCAAACCTTATGAGGATGACATTTCACCTTTATTGTATTTGTTTACAGTGGTGACATCCTTCAATCACCTGAGGCCTCCAGAGAGGGACCTCACGCCGATGTCTCAGATGAAGCCTATTAAATCACTGAAGCACGCCGGCTTAACTGCAGTCTTTACCGGGCAAACTGTGAGTCATGCGGTGCTTTCTCTCAAATGAATGTAATGCCCTACTAAACATTAAAACAATCCCGAATGAAAATATGTTCTGGCCAAAAGAACAGACAGACAGGATTCTAAAAAAATAAACACTGTTAGGTATTGGATTTGAAAATCAAAGGCTTTTAATTCAAAGTTGATATGCAAAGAATAAAAAAATGTGATAAAAAAACAATTTCTGAAATGTTATTAAATAAAGGGTCATTGGTTAGGTTATAGTTTGAGAGTATAAATTAAATATGAAATCACTGGAATTAGGCTACATTAACGCCTCTTGATTAAATTAATGCACAGATAACAGTGTAGGTATGAAGATGATGCAAAAACTATAGGCTATTGAGACTCTACAAGATGTGAATCAAAAACACAGAAAACAACAAACTGAATAAATAAATGTTGTTCTTAACATATATATATATATAGGATGCTGGATAACCCTATATTGTATAAAATTAATCTATCTTAGATTTTTTATTTCACTAAATATTTTAAGCTGTTCAAATCAGTTGAATGTTTTCTGAAAAATATTTTAATTTTAATAGAAAGAATCCTTGTTTTATCTAAAATAAAATTTAAATATCATTTAAAAAAATTGTCAGAAAAGAAGAAAAAGATCCATTGATCAGTGGTGTAACTCTGTCTTGTGTTAAATACACTAACAGTGGTTTGACAGCGAAGAGGTGCAGGAGGAGTCACCAAGTGTCAACGTTATCTTGGCTGACATTGACTCCCTGGTGCCAACCCATGATGAAGCTGGACGCCCCATACCAGAATGGAAACGACAGGTGATGGTGAGGCAGCTGCAGGTCAGGATGCAAGATGAAGAGGTGGAGGCGACACAGGTACTCCCTCAATTTATGCCAAAAATAGAACATGGTCAAGGCAGGAAAACAATGAAATCTATAAACAACCAAATGAGGCTAACGCCTTGCATATTTCTTTCAATGAGGCTAAAGTATCAGCTTTTTTTTTTAAAAGAACAGTGTGTCACCACTATCCTGACAACACAAAATGACAACGTGTAGTCAGGCAGGTCCTTTTCAATGGAAAACCACCACCCTGAGATTTGTCCACGGGATTACCTGACAGAAAGATTTGATTTCCAGACAATATGTCTCTGATACTCTGGGGTAAAGTCAAACAAATAGCCTTACAAATGCGTATGCATTTGATGGGCCATAGAAACTCCATGAAGCTCTCTTCAGATAGTACTTGTGCTAATCTGAAGGCTACATAATGTTTTGTGATCTTACTTGTTTTAGTTTGTGGCTGAGTTGCTGTTGCTTAAACTGACACTCACATACTACCATAAACAGTCAAAGGAAAAACCACTAGTGGACTTATTGCATAGCTGGCTTTTTATGATAGTACTATGCTGAAACTGTTTTCTCTGAAACATTTGTAGGAGGAGTCATAAAGTGTGAGACAATGGAAGGGATTAGGACCTTTAGGTTTAATGATTTGAGGTGTTGATCTGACAGTTTTGCATAATTATAGCTTAAAGCACATATATGTGTAAAATTGTTACATGTAGTATGTGCAAAATATTATCACGCAAATAGATATGTTAAACTTTTATTAAAATAAATCACTTATCAGAACTGTACAATATTTCTGTGTCTCTCACAGGGTTCGTTGCATGAGTTTACGCCACTGGATTCCTGGAAGTACTCCCAGACTCACAATGCTATACTAGGGCCCTTTGGTGAGCTGCTAACAGACGAAGATCTGATTTACTTACAGCAGCAAATTGAGTCTGTTTCTCTGCAGAAACGCTGCCAGGCCTATGAGCTGGAGTTGACCAGGCTAACCGAGGAGTTAAAGGCAATTTTACCCGATCCTATTGTGAATATTTCCCTCAACAGGGAGGTACTACAAAAAATGGACTCTGAGGGAAAAACGCACCTGACTCTACCTGTCTGGTGTGATCGTATCTCAGAGATAGTAAAGAACATGTCCCTGCTGGTGGCTAGTTTGACTAAGACACAAGGAAAAGAAAGCGAGTCGCGAGTGGTGGGAGGAGTGGTTGATGACATGAAGGGTTTGCAGGAAAATAAAACGGCTTTTGAAATCGATTTGGATTCAGGACTGATGCAACAGAGCATAGGAAAGGAGCCTACACCTATGGTGACATCCAGCGGATGCAGGATACCCCATATTGGGATGGCATCTGCTTTCAGCCACCGTTTAGAGAGCATCAGCTACAGTAGAGAACAGAGAGAGAGGGTGGAGAGGGAGATTCAGCAGTCTGGTGTGTCAGTAAAAAACCTAAGGTCTAACTTTGAGGGTCAGATTGGAAGCATTTATCCCTTTGCGGGAGTTGTACATGGAGCACAGCGGATGAAGGGTAAGAATTGGGTCGGACCATCGGCTGGAAAAAGCGAGGATGTCAACAGTCATCTTAGTGTGCCTAAAAGCAATGAAACTGTGATGGAGACTGCCAGCTTAAGAAAGGAGCGGATAGTTGTGTTATTCCTGAGCCATTGGAAGAAGTCTGCATATGCCATCTCAATGAGAGCAGCAAGGCAGAGACAGGAAGCATCTGCTGCATCAGGGAGCGCTACCACAGCACAGCCAAAACAGAAAGCCCACTCCCTGTTCCGGTTCTGCCAACAACGAGGTGCTGTCGACAAAATGCTTAACTCCTGGAGGAATAAACTGGAGTTACAGTATTCTCTGAAATCCAACATGGCCTCCTCAAAAAATACACAAAACTGTGATGTGCCGTACTCTCCAGAGCAGTTCTTGCCAGAAGTGGATGGAGTTGCAATGAGCCATGACAGCTTGACCCTCAACCTCTTCATGCTGGGTTATTTCCACATCTTAGAGCAAGATTTGTCTGCTGAGGAGAGAAAGATGAGACATCTCCTCTGCTTCGAGGTTTTCGACCATGTCAGCTTCTTCCCCTGGGAGAAGGTGAGGGATTTCCACAAAGCCGTTCTTCAGGAAATTCAGGCTGGAAGGCGACAGTGGAGCGACGGCTTTGAAGACCTCAAGACTAAATTTTTCGGTGAATCAACACCATGTGACTGTTCATCATCATCATCATCGTTGAGAGACTTTAAACCATTGCCCAAGGTTATAGTGCAAAATGCAACTCCAGAGGAGAGCGGCAGCTGCGCAGACTTTTCTTGTTTCAACAATGAAGATATATGTACATATATTGATCGCAGTTTTGCTTTCTGGAAAGAAAAAGAAGCAGAGCTGTTTCAGTTTGAACACTGAGCTTAGATTTTATGTTTTCTAAACAAAAACATTGATGTGCTTGTTTTAATAAAGAGATGGATAAAATACCTAGAAAGTCTCGTTGGTAACTAATTTTTGCAAACATAATTTACTGAGAGACTCGTGTTTTACAGATATGTTCACCATCTAGTAGCTTCTACAACTTAAAAACGATCTTTATGAATATCATTTAGAATTAAGTATTAGGTTTTTTATACACACAAAACATGGGATACAGATATCATTAATGTCCAAGGTCCGCAAATGCAGTTGGTTTAATTGAAACTATAAAGATCATGTCATAAATCAAGTTTTACAATATTTGATTTATGGGATAGGATAAATGACGGCAAATGCCACAATTTAGATGCCTTTGAAATAACAGCACCCTATTTCATTCTATGCTAAATAAACTGTGGAAATGCTTTTAGTGAGTAGCTTAAAGGCCTTTTCATTTCCAAATACTTTCATTATTGTACATGTACATGCACAACAAGTAGTAAACAGTAAAACTAAGCAATTATGTTTTGTCTTCCCTATAAAGAATAACCATTGTTTCACAATGTTCCCTTTGTTAGCAATTTCCAGTTTGAGCACAGTTTAAGAACATTTACTTTAAAAAGACATTGGGGTTAGATGGAAAGCCAAATTTATGTACAGCATATTGGTGGTATTATTCTTTCACATGCCTTGACTTGCATGAAAACTTGATTGAGATCCCATTCTTAGCGGTTCAGTATTGACATTAGTCCATCCTTTGTAGCTATAATACAGTTTATTGTTTTAGGAAGGCTGTCCAAAAAATGTAGATTTGTGTTTATGGAATTGTTGACAATTCTCTTAGGAAGTGCATTTGTGAGGTCATATACTAATGTTGAGAGAGAAGGCTTGGCTCTCAGTCTCTGATGTAACTCACTCAGAGGATGTTTTAAATGGTTAAAGGCCAGGATGCTGCAGGCTAGGTGAACTCATTAACACCACGCTCTTTTGTCCACGTCTTTATAGACCTTGTTTGAGGCACTAGTGGTCATGTTGGAAGAAAAAAGGGGTCATTTCAGAACTGTTTCCATAAAGTCATGGAATTGAAAACATTCATTAGTTTTATTGGTGTGCTGAAACATTCAAGTTTGTTTTCATTAGAATTTAGGTAGTAAAGCCCAGCCTCTGAAAATTTGACACCACACCATAACCCCCCTACATCAAAGATTAGTCATAGCACAATAGTTCAGTTCAAATCAATTCCATTCAATTTGATGTATATAGAGGCAATTCACAACACATGTGATTTCAAAACACTTTATAAAGAGTACACTTTTCCATTTCCTGTATGCTTCCTATTCTCATCAGAATCTGCTGCCTCAGTCATCAGTCATTTACATGACCTACCACTTCATTACTGAGTTGCTGCATTTCCTGTCACTTCCACTTTGTTAGAGTACCATAGACAGTTGAAGGTTATATATTTCAGAAAGAGAATATATATATATATATATATATATATATATATATATATATATATATATATATATATATATATATATATATATATATATATATATTATCATTGATTAATTGTCTTGGTATTTATGAAGAAGTCATATTTTAGGAGACATGATTAATCATTAAAGGCTGCATCTACCCTCAGAAGGCTGCATTACACCAGTTTAACTTTAAAATCGACCCTTAATTAAGAGCAACGTATATAATATCAGGTTTGTTATCAAGATCAATATGTTTACTTTTATCAACCCTGATATGTTCCCATCTTCAGGCAGGAAGATGGGAACATGAATACGGACGGAAAGGTGAGGGATTTGAAAGAGGTGAGGTCGCGCAAGCGCACACGCTGCCCTGAACTGACAGGACGACGCTGAGCTGCATTCCCACCATTCTGAGGAGAGGAGGATTCTCCTGCGCAGCCACAGCATAGAGGGAGTCACGGGCCTTTAAAGAAGAAAAATAGGAATAAAACACGTAAAATATAACCCAAGTGAGGCTTTTCATCTGCCACCATGTCAGGCGGAGCAGATTTGGGGAACCCACTGAGGAAATTCAAATTGGTGTTTTTGGGAGAGCAAAGCGGTGAGTCCGTGATCAGGGGGAGGATTGGGTGTCGAGCATGTGTGTGTATGAGTGTATGTAATCATCTTTATTGATACCTTGAAATATTAAAGTGAATGTAATAAATGTTTTCCTGGGAGCCTGTGATGCCGATGCCTTCAGGAACAGTGGCACCGCGATAATTAGATTAACAGAAGACAAAAAGAGAAAGAAAAAACTCATGGGTTTAAATTAAACTAATAAATCAGGACACATGACTGTGAATTTAGCGCCTATGTAATGATCCTCACTGACAGCATAGCAGGGGGAATGAATGGCGATGTTTTAATGTACTGCAGTGACCGTGAAAAATCTTCCTCATTTTCCCATTTTATTTCCATCTTCTGCTCTTGATATGTCACACATAAACATTTAATATAGACCGTGACTAATATCTACCCTCGGTCTTTTTTCGTTTTAATTTTTAATTTCAGCAGGGATAACAGTCTCCCATGTGTCAGTTCGGGACACACCCTAGACTGCCGATGTCTGTAGCATCTCCAAAGCACGCAGTCTCTTGCACTGTCCCGTGAAAAATCCAGAAAAAAAAAGCGAAAAAGAAAAAATACTTGACATTTATCAAAGATCACACTGTGTTATCAATAATCCTTTCATCCAGGGAGGGGAGGGTTCTGCTTTGATGTGGTGGGACAAATTCACAAGAAGAACATCGATAATGGTGCCTGAAGACGGGCTCAAATAATAGACACCCAAAGTGGCCGAACATTTGTCGATATCCTATAAAAAGCAATAATAAAGAAGGGATAGCCAGCTCCAATGAGGAGCAGGTTTGTGTTTTCACTGTGATCTAGCATTGTGTGTGTGGGTGATTCATATCTGTGGTTGAGTGTCTCGACTAAAAGCATCTGTAGAGTGTGTTTGTGTGGCCTGTACTGCAATGTTGCTGTCCATGGTGCTGAAGAAGGGCCTGTGTGGTCTATCACTTCGATTAGGCTTCACCACTATTGTGAGAGAGGACAGAGGCCTGCTGGACTAGTATTCTTGTATCCCCCACTCATTGCGTGATTTGATGTAAAATGTTTCTCTGAATGATGCCTAAGTTGATATCAATAAGCACCGAGGCACCTTTTGGTTCTTCAGGACAGCCCCATCTATATAAAAGTTCTTGAATATCTTGATAGCTCAGTTGTCTTAAGACTGATCATTTTAGACCAATTCAACTATGTAATTTATATAGAAATATTAAACATTGCATGTCATCTCAGTTTACATTACAAGAAAATTATATCCAATCCATGTCCAGAAATAAATTATTAGATAACAGTACTATAATCCTGTCTAAGAGACAGGTTCATGGTTAATCAAATGCTGCTCTTAATTTTGTTTTACTTTTTTGGCTCTGTGATGCAAGGATAGAGTAAACTGGCCTAAACAGTTTTTGTTTACAGAGTAGCCTTGGAATCAGCAGTCTCTTTGCCATCATATTTGTGCAAAATAATACTTTCTGAATTAAATTGCCCTCATTCCTTCTTGCTGTTAAAAAAAAACATATAAAAACTACTCAAGTCCTTGTTTATTTGCAGTTGTCTTTGCATTTTTTTTATTTCATGTAGATTTTTTCCATGTAAGTTTTGTTTCTTTTTGCAAAATGAGTTCGATTCAATTTATTTGCCTCTCCCTAATTGTTTTTCTTCCTATGCTGTTAGGAATTAAGGGTTGTTGTTCAGCTCAGGATATGTTTGTTTGCTTTGTACTGTACATCCTTTATTTAGAATATAGAAGACCTCTAACTATTACATACCTTCAGAAAGTTATTAATGGGTTAATATACCATGACGGGGGAAGCAAATGCGTTAGGGTGGTTATTCACATCTGGTAAAAACCTGCAGGACACTTTTTGGTGACATGCCCTGATTTGTACTAACCAGGCAGACCTTGTGTACCCATTTTAAAATTGATTAATTTAGGGTAATTATCTATTATTTACTAACGGTCTTCTCTAGAGTTGCCAAGTATATTTAGTTTGTGCTATTTTACACCTGCAAAGTTCAGTTTTGATGCAAGAGTAACTTAGATGGTTAAATACAACCAGATAAGTTGTGTCATTGTGTAGATGACAAAGGAAAAAAAGGACAAAATAAGGTTGATAGCAATAGTAATGTTAACAGTATTAACAGTAAGAAATGTAATGAGTAAAATGTCATTCCATTTTTCCTGACATGTTGCAGGAGGATCCTTATCCAAGGGAAGTGGTTAATTCACCCCAGTAATAATAATAACCAACAGAAGGTCACATGGTATTATTGCTGTTTAATTAGAGGTCACAGTCTGAGCTACAGGACCCAAATCACTAGAAAGTGAAAGACTAAGAATAATTTGAATATTTAAATAGACACAAGGTGCATTTCAAAGTTCTTAAATAAATTGAACTGTAAATGAAATTTTAACCCCGTGACCAAATATTTGGTAAGATAATGTTTTTTCCAAGCAAAAATTTGAAATAGAAGGAAACTAATAGGTAACCATGAGCAAACAAGGATACATATTGATCTGGAGCCAATTAATAGCAGCTTTTACCTAAGAAGCCATTATAAATATTGAAAATGACTACACCTGGGATACTTCTTTCAGAAGATACCTTTTAAGTAAACCATTTGAGGAAAAATTCTGTGTTTTGGCTCAAAAAATTAACTTTGATATATTTTTGTTTCAGTGGGAAAAACATCTCTCATCACCAGATTCATGTATGACAGTTTTGACAACACATATCAGGTGAGGCTCAGCTCTCACAAATAGATGCTATATATTCACTTTTGAGGAAGTATTGATTGCATATAAATGTGGTCAGTAAGTGTGCTTAAGGATTGATGATTGGAAATGAGTTCATGAAGGAATAAATGATTATGATATTAGTTTAAAATGTAAAATATAAAATATTAAACCTTATTAGACTGATACATTTTCTTTTGTCAATACATTTAGGTTTTGTGAAGTATGAAAAGGTGTAGCAAAGTGTTTCAGCACCAAGAGTGTTTTGGGAAATGCAATATTTTCTAATTTTAATTCAGTTTGGTTGTTTATTGTTTGTAGACAAGTAATTACTGTAATTTGTGGAATATATTTCAAACTTTCTCTATCTTTTCCTATAGGCCACAATTGGAATCGACTTCCTATCAAAGACCATGTACCTGGAAGACCGGACAGTAGGAAACCCTGAAACTCATTTTAAAACTTGCATGTAGAAAAATACTACACTTTTAGACTTTTCGCCTGCAAATACCATTGAATGTCCCAGTTTCCACTGTGCTTTGACTAATCCTTGATTTGATTTGCTTAATCACTGCACTCGTTATGCTCTAACATGATTATCTGAAGGTTATTTCTCCTAGTAAGAGCTTTTGCACATTTTTTTTTTGTAATAAGCTATAGTCATGGATCATCTTCTTTAACTTGTGCAAATTCTATTTCTGTCGTGGGATATTATCCCCCCTGCCAGCCTGCACATGAGCTGATAGGGGCTTATCCTTTGGAAAAGCTTTTAGTTGTGTTTTACTTTGTGTGGGGTTTGACAGTTTTGTCAAACAGCTGCTGAGAACGTGTGTTTGTGTGTGTCTGTGTGTGTGTGTGTATTCATATGCAGGTAAGGCTGCAGCTGTGGGACACAGCTGGACAGGAGCGCTTCAGGAGCCTTATTCCTAGCTACATCCGAGATTCTACAGTGGCAGTGGTTGTCTATGACATTACAAGTAAGCCCTGGTTTTCCCCTATTTTAAAAATAAAAACTCAGTGTTTTATACACAACGAGGGCAGCATTTAAGTTGATGCTCTAATCTCCCCAGACGTAAACTCATTCCAGCAGACCTGCAAGTGGATTGATGATGTCAGGACAGAGAGAGGAAGTGATGTTATCATCATGCTTGTGGGCAACAAGACAGATCTGGAGGAGAAGAGGTAAACATGCTGTTTTTCTTATTAATTCCAACATTGAGTGTAGTTTATGGAAGGCCTTTGAGAACACCACATTAGAGGAGAATGACTCAGCCTAAGATGTCCAACCTGGCTGGACCTTTCTGCAGGCAAATCACGATTGAAGAAGGAGAGCAGAGAGCCAAGGAGCTAAACGTCATGTTCATCGAGACCAGTGCCAAGACAGGCTCCAATGTCAAACAAGTGAGCCTCACAGTTTCACCCCTTTTACTGCATTTTTTGTGCCACTTAAAAGCTAATTCACAAGTTCTTCTAAAAGGGAACAACAACAATTAACATATTATAAAAGATATTATCAGTTTTTTCACATATAATAGCAAACAGTAAAAAGTAACATATCTGATGTCTTGAATCCTTCTAAGATATTCACACAAATAAGGGATGAAATACAAAAAGTAACAATAAACAAGAAAGTCTATTAAACTTTTTATATTTTGTCAACCTATAGAAGGAAAAAAAGGTACAGCTCACAATAAATACCTACATAAATATCTTGCGAAAATGCTTTATTTAACCAGACTGCTTTAGTAATGACTATTCCTGAGATAAAAATAAAAAATTTCCATAAAAAAATCAAAGAAACCTTAGAGTAAAAATGTATCCATCTTTAGATATGATAAAATCCATGCTTTAATATTTAAACAGCAATTTAATTTCAATGTTTGGATCCAGTCTTTTACATTTATACTCCAAGACGTTTATTTTGATTTCTTTTTAAAATATTCTATGATTGGTGTCTCAATTAATTATATCCTAAACAACTATTTCTCACAAATGTTTCACCTATTTAACCTGTTAAGCCTGTTTTTCTATAACAAGTTCATAACACCATGTTAACTTAGGTCAGGGAATTGTTCAGTTTTTATATTTAAAAATAAAATGGAGTAGAATTTACTACTGAAATTTAAATTAAACACTAAAATAATAAAATACTAATATTAATAAAGTTAAATTACAAAAAAGTATGTCATCTGTACTTCTTGATGGCCTTATTATGCATGATATTACTGAGCATAAATAACAAAACGAGGTATACAACAACAAAAAAATCTGAAAGATGAGTAGAAAAAAAATCCGCAGTAAACTTTAAAGGTGGGAAATAAACCCTTATATGTTTTACTCTGTTGCTTGTTTCAGTGAGTGAAATGTGTAAATGTTTATTTAGAATATTTATTTGTTCTCCTTGTTAAGGCCATATTATTAACTAATCTATTCTAATTCACAAAACAGTTTATAAAGGAAAAATGTACCATTTATAATTAATACATTTGATATATTTAGAAAAAGCAGCTGGGATTATTGTAGGTAGGCTAAGGCTTAGGTAGAAAAAGAAATTAAATAGAGAAAGAGTGATGAGGAGGAGCGGCTGGCTAGCTTTGCAGCTGGCTAGGTCAAGTGGTAAGTCCTACAAACAGGAAGCCTGGGTTCGTATGAGCTGCCAGTGTGGGTTCTTAGGCAAAACCCTTCATGCTGTTGTCTGGTTTGGGGAGTTGCGGCCCAGTGGTTAAGGCATTGCACTTGGAATCCTGAGGTCCTGAGTTCGAGCCCCAATCCCACGAAGCTCCAAAGACCCTTAACCACCACACTTTTCCCCGGGCATCACACAATGACAGCCCACTGGTCGCCAAGGGGATGGGTTAAATGCAGAGAATTAATTTTGTTGCTCTGTACTTATGACAGTTTAATGACACCCTAAATCGCTGGGAAAAATAATGAGATAGAATACTTTAGGACATTGTAGGGATGATAGAAATACCCCAAAATTAATCAGTAATTAAATAAAAAAAAAAACTGTCCTGCCTTTTTGTCTAACGTTTCTCTCTCCAGCTGTTTCGTCGAGTCGCTGCTGCACTACCTGGGATGGAAAGTCTGGATGATGCAAACCCCGAAGGCAGTATCCTTTACAGCCTTTCTTGTTTTTAGTGCCAGCCAAGTTGGCTGAAAGGCCGGCCAGCTTATTTTTAATCTTTTAGTGGATGCTGGCAGCAGCACAAACAGACAGACCGTCCTTCTGTCTATATAGAAGCATCAACCATTAAACGATTTATGCTTGAGAGAAAAGGAATGCACAGTGCCAGGAGGAGATAGCTGATGCATGGTGTTTAGCACCACATGGTGGCTGTAAGATAAGTGACAGCAGGTATGTAAAGACCAATGCAAATAGTTGATTAGATGTTTTAAAATAGATGATCTGTTTGATTAACTTTCATTTATTTACATATTTAACACTGATGATCCAAGTTCCAGTGTGTGATTTTCTTTAACAGCAAATTCCCAGTGATTGACATCAAGCTGGACAAACCACCAGAGCCGGCCGTCCCTGAGGGCGGCTGTTCATGTTAATGCTGAGCTGCTTCTGGACGGCTCCCTTCACACCATAGGCTTGTTGCGTTGCTTAATACTGGCTAGCTTCCAGTTGACTTCTTTAATTGGATATAGGAACGAGACCTTGTATCTGATTTGACAAATCAAATGTTATCTTTCAGTCTTGTTCAGTTGTAAGATATTGTATACTTTGTCAATATGTAAGAGACTGGTGGAGGAGAAAAAAAATAGAAATAAAAATGTTGCAATGAAAAAGAACGACAAAAAAGAAACAGTTTGGAAAGAAAAAAAAAAGGAGAAAAATGGGGCAACTAACAGATTTCTTTTCGCTGTTATGTTTTGTATTTTTATATATATATAAAAGGGAAAGCACCAAAAATGAGGCCTAAACACAGAAGGGGAATAGTTGGAAGGTCAGCCATTTCTCTTGGCTGCCAAACACGTCTGAATGTCGCAGAACGCATGCACGCTGATCTGATCTTTGACCTTTGACCTTTGGCCTACCTTCCAGGGTCTCTCTGTGCTCTGGGAGGAGGCTGACTATCTTAGAATGTTTTATAGCATCTCTCTATAGCATCTCATAACAAAACGTCTCTCATTTGATATTCCCTACAAAGGTCAAACAACTTCCTGTAGGTTCACCCAACAGTAGCTGTGAATATGTGGCACTCTCTCCCTCTTTCTCTCTCTCTCTCTCTCTCTCTCTCTCTCTCTCTCTCTCTCTCTCTCTCTCTCTCTCTCTCTCTCTCTCTCTCTTTCTCTCTCTTTTATAGAACAAATGGTTCTGTGGTATAAAAAAATAAAGTACAAATAACAAGGACAGCTTACTGTCTCAACCTCCTGTCCCTCCAAATTATCCTCTGCTCTTCCTCCTTGCTTCCCTCTTTCTCTCTCCTTTCAGCCTCCCCATCCCTCCATCCCGGTAATACACATATAACAATCCACTGTAATGCACTGCACTGTATATAATAATGTAATATGTATGTTGTGAACGTCCCTCTGTAGAAGTGGTCTTTGTTCACCTGTATGAATAGTGTAATAATGTTTAATGATTAATAAATTACAGATTAAAGGGCTTCACCTTCCTAACCATCTACATTCACCTGGCAGCAGAATGTTGTATCTTGTTTTTACTTTACTTTAGATCTGTTTTTTGTTTCATAACCCACCACCATTTACTTTACAGTTCAATTATCTTCAAGTTGAACTCATTTTAGTTTCAGCCTCCTACATTATAGCTCGACTCAGTTCAGTGCAATTTATTACAGCTGGATTCATTTCGGTTCAGCTAAGTTCTATTCAGTTGCGCTCATTTCAATTTCATTACTTGGAGTTAGATTAAATTCTTTATAGTAGAATTAATTTCAGAAAGTTTATTTAGATGATATTCAGCATAATTAAGTTCAAATACATTTTGATATTAATTCAGTTATTAAATCCATCATCTATACCTGCATATCCTTGTGGGTTATCTCTATGGATCATTCAAGTCTTTTGAGTGTCATAGGGTAACACTGAGAAAACAACCATACATGTACACCCACACACATAGGCAGTTATTACTCAAAAGAATAGAAATAGCAAATCAATATGTCAGTCTTGTTTTTAGGCTGTGGAGAAGGGAAAGCTAGGGTATCCAGAGTACACCTAAGCATACTTTAAAATATGTGTACTATGCATGATGCTACTGATGGTATAACCGTATAGCCCCTAGTTAATAATGGTTTAAGTTAATTAATTTAAGCATATACCTGCCCTGTGATGAAGTGACAACCTGTCCAAAATGAAACCCTCCTGCCACCAAATGAATATTACAGACCAGCTCCCCTGTGACCCTGCATGGAGAATACTTTATAAACAATGCTATTCCTTTCAGTTCATGCCAACGATGATTCAGCTCAATTCAAATCTGATTAAACTTAGATTAGGTGTAAATCACTTTTATTCAAATTTGATTACATTTGCTTGAATTCAACTCATTTCTGACACCTGATAAATTCCAGTTTATAAAAAATGTCAACAATCACCAACTCACACTGAAAAAAGTGGTTTACCATTTCCTTAGAAAAAGCTGGGTAACTTTTTGCACAAAGAAATGCTTTGTAAATTTCACTCCATAAAATCTAAGTTGATTTTAATTACTAAGAAGTTGATTTAACAAAAAAAAAAAAGGAAAATTTACTACCAAATTCCTCTTATCAAAAAAGATGTACATTTTTTTGCAATTAACATAACAGTCATGTTTTTTGTACTGCTGGAGGAAGCTGGTGTGCCCAGAGAGAACCCACACATAGACGGGTAGAACATGCAAACTTCATAAAGAAAGATCTCAGGTCAAGAATCAAACCTACAGCCTTCTTGCTGCAAGAGAACAAAAGAGAAAAAAGTGTGGCACAGTGCAGCCACACTATTTGTGACCTACTGGTCAGGCAAGGAAAAAAGCACAAAGTTTGCTTCTACCGTAATATCCACGCACATTTTACTTGCATCTGTCAAGTTGGACACTTATCTAAATTGTTTTGTTAATAATATTTGGTAAAATTGATTTAATTGAAAATGTGTCTTTTGAATAATACATGTGGAGTCTTTGCCTAGTGAGTTAGAGCAGTGTGCTTGTGCTCTGAAAAGGTTGCAAGTACCCAGTGCGATCCCCACAGCCTGCACTCTGATTGCTCCCCGGGCGCCAAACAATGGCAGCCCACCGCTCCCCAAGGGGATGGGTGGAAATGCAGAGAGTAAATTTCCCCATTGTTGGACAATAAAGGGACTTATTTTTTTTTTTTCTTTATTTTTTTTCTTTTTACAAATAAAAGGTGTCAAAAGGCCCTTACATGACAATTTGAAGATCTTCAGGAAATTAGATGAAAACTGAGATAATATTTACAACACCAAAAAGTCTATTTTTTTCAGTGCTGGGGCCTTTATAGGATAAAAAAATAAGAACTTATTACATCTAAAATAGTCCAGGGCATCACTACAATCACATTGTAAAACCATATCCTTTGTAGTAAAAAAATAATAATAATCTTGTAACTCGGTGTAACATTATGGTAAGTTTTCTTCTGGTCTTTGTATATTCAGAAATCTTTGATGAAAGGGATCTTTTCCCTTTCATTTTCATTTTTCACAGTTAAGTTTGGTTAAAATGAACTAACACCCTAAATTTTTTGTAAATGAATGGATTTCTTACATTTATGACCTTATCTAACCATTAAGTGGTTTATACACTCTTAATGTATAATTAGTATTTAGTGAAAAAAAAACAGTTATAGTTTATCTTCAAGTTTTATAGTCAGGATAATTTAACTCCACTGCACATTCAGAATGTTTTTATAGAATATAACCTAAAATATTAATGGTCAATATTCATCCCATTTAAATGATAATAATCTAATTTCAATGTTAGAAAAATATACAAATTATTCTTATTATGGAATAAATCTAGAATTTAACTGGTTATTTAAAGAAAGTAGTGAACAATTAGATAATAACTCAGACCTTTCTTACTAAAAAAGTGCACCCCTTAATCTCCTGCGGCCATTTATATTTGGTGCTGTGTAGATGCTAGGAAAAACACGTTAAAAAGACACATTTTACTACCAAACATAACATATACTTAAATTTGTATTTTTCTCTTGTTAGAGCACATTTTTTTTCCATAGCTCTAAATGATCAAAAGCAGCTGTAATGAGGCCATTTCAGCCAAATGGAGCCGTCAATATATATATTTTTTAAGTTTGGTTCAAAGTGATAATTATCACACTAATGCTGAGATCTCTGCAGTGAGTCAGAGTCTGAAAACCTGATAGTTGAGGGGAAGTTGAGATGGAAAGAACCTTTTAGAGGAAAACTCTGATTGCGACAGAGCATGTCACCTGACCACGCTCTGCAGACGGAGGAGGACAGGTATTCCCCTGGTTAAAGTCAGTTAGTGTCGTTAGTGGATAAAAAACTCCACAGAAATCTAAAGAACTCTTCTTCTGACTCTCTAAGGTCTGTCTCTGGGTCTCATAGGGTCCTCGGTTGTACTTAAACAGTGACATGCAAATGGTTATGCATTTACAGAAACGGGAAATAGTATAAGATGCACAATTTATCTTGGTCTTCTTAAAGAGTGCTCATTTTGAGAATTACCTTACATGAGAAGGACACACCTCCTGGACCCAGAGTGCTAGATGTACGGTCTCAGGCCTGGTCCACTCCTCACTTGAGTTCTTGTTTACACTTAAATCGGATCATGTCCAGAGTGGAGGTCTTCAGGGACGACACCCTTCACGCTCTGCTCCGCGAGCTGCGTACTGACATAGCAATGGCTGTGGATGACCCTTTCCCAATCGTTTATGGCTTAGCAGACAAAAACATCATCACTGAACAACAGCTGCAGGTAAGGAGCAGAAATAGATGCCAGAACTTTTACTTTAGAAGTTACATTCTTTAATTTAGATGTTTTTAAAGCCGTATTTCTATTGATTGTTCTACACGTCTAGATGATTTAGATTTTCAGAGGGCATTTTATTGATCACACAAATTGATTTCCAATTTGATACCCAAATGCTAGCGCATTTTCCTTTCTTTAGGATACTCTTAAGAAGGAAGGTAGTGAGGGCATTCACAAAGCCATGTATTCTCTCCTGTCATGGCTTTTGGAGCAAAGCAGACAAACACTTCAGTCTTTCTGGAGCAACTTATCCAAGGACTACAATATGGACAGCTACCCAAAACTGAAGACCCTTCTGACTAACTTGAATACCAGTATGTCAATTCCGTAATTCTTTAAAGTACCTCTTTCTTACAGAAGGGTTGTTTGACCTAAACTGACTCCAATTTCTTTATGTATGTTACTACTAACCCCCTCTAGGACAGGAAGGTCCAAGGACCAAAACCGAAAACAGGTCCTCTGGAGGAGGCAAAGCTTCTCACAGCAAGAAGAGGAGCCGTAAGGAAGGGGGGACAGCGTCCCAGCACTCAGAGTACCATGCCAAAACAAGTGATGGCACAGGTCATCTAGTTCTGTGTTCTGTGCAGTTTTTCCTCACGGCATCCAAGCAGTTGCCACATACCAGACTTAAAGGTAGAGTGGAGGATTTTAGTGAATTGTTGAAAAGACCTTCGACTTAAACAAATGTACATGCACAGCCCTGTACCCACTCCCAAGAGGGAGCGCATATTAAACGAGTGCGAGAGCATGCATTAGTCCATTTCACCTCGTGCGCGTTCTGTTTAAAAGTTGCTGTTTGTATCGCTCATACAAGCTTACTTTTCAAAAGAAGATTTGCAATTTTTCCACTATGTAAGACACACCACCGTTAAGTGAAAATGGGGACGAGCACGTAGGACAGCCTAATGTAAACATATCACCAGAATGATTGACAATTAGGAGGACCACTTACTTTGATGATCCAACAGGAAAAAGAACATCCTCCACTATACCTTTAAATAAACAAACCTATGCAAAAATGATAACAATCCTTTTATTAAGCGTGTTGACATTTAGGAAACTTAACTTCTCTTTCCCCCCCCTTTTTTTTTTTTTTTACCAGTGAATAAAGTCAGGCTATACAGAGTGAAGAGTGAAGCTCAAGCCATGCAGCTGCCAACTGGAAATAGTAATATAGTACATTTCTAATTTAAATCAACCTGCATTTGCTCTTGTTTCATGTCAGATACTTATCAAAATTCTGCCATAGGTCTGCAGGTGGTATCTCCTTCTGTTCAGGAAGGGGTTCCCCATTTCTCTTTTTCATCTTCCTCCTCGTCAGATCAGCCATTAAGCCAGGATAAAAAAGAAAGCATGCAAATCAAACAGGAATATACTGCAGTGGATGGTAAGCCACTGAAACACTGACTTTGTCACTTTTTAAGTTGCCAAATATCCATCTGGTCCCATGATTTTTTTGTTAAACAAGATCGATGCAAAATATACTGTTTTACTGATTTAATTCTTGATAATAGATTTTAATGATAAACTATATTTTCTGTAAACAGGGCAGACCAGAGAGTGCTTTAAAGAGAAGTCTAATGAAGAAAGGTCCAAATTTGCCAGTGCCAAGTTTATCCACCAGGGGGAAACAAACACAATCATGGTAATCCAATCCTCTACCTGTGTTTA